TGGGCACATATACCTCTACAGCAAAAAGTATAGCAACGTGAGCTGCTTGACATTTTGAAATCTCTCAAGTTATATCTTCCTACTTGCGGAAGTGGGGGAGGGGAAAGGCTAACATAAATGGAACTATATATTATTGGTATGCATTATGAAAACAAAAATTGATGAGGGGATTGGCATCGAAATCGCGACGATCCGATAGACGTGACAATCACTGCAGAAGTTGCCAACCCCTGGGAGATGGAGAGGAAAAATGGGGTGATGGCAAATATGAAGGGCTTTCTCTGGAAAGATACTAGAGTGAGAGGCAAGGTGTGGTACAGCCAAAAAAAAAGGGCACTGAAATGTACACAATGGTTTAAGACCATAATCAGAATGCAAAAGGTCCAAGGAGGGATGTGTACAAACATGAGACATGCTGGGGATATCCGTTCAAACATTATAAGCGTGCAAAATGGAAAATCAATATTTCCTCTTTACGCACACAAAGAAATAAAAGTAAATGAAGTATCGAAGTCATTACACATAGGAAGAGTGAACTTGTCGAGTAGAACTCCAAGTAGTGACAAAATGGATACCAAGAAATGTGCTATTAGAAATATTCCCCTAAGCAATGGAAGATATATGGGGATCTGTAATGGAGAAAAATTCATACACATTCGAAACTTGGAAAGAAAGATTATGAAGTGCTATTATTCGGTCAATATTTGTGATGATAAAAAAGAGAGTGAAAAAGAAGAAAAAAAAAAAATGAATAATGTTAACGAACATTGTAACAATAATTGTGAAAATGTATGGTACAGTCATTGGTTAAGTAAAAGTTTACGGGGAAAAAATACTTTTTTTGATGTAATAAAAAAGAATCTAATCGCGTATGCATATTTGTCAAGATTGCACATACCCACAGGAATGTACCTCTTATTTAACTCAGCCTTGTATGGGTATTTCTTAACTTTTCCTGTGGAAACATTATTCACTACAAGTAACGATATAAATTGGAGTTCAATTTACAAAATTGTAAAAGATATAATGTTATTTACATTTGGAAGTGTAAATAGTAGAATAGTCGGATGTATAATCAATGATATGTTTGATAAAAATTATGATAGACATGTTGAGAGAACAAAAAATAGACCATTAGCAAATAATACTATAAGTATGAAAAGAGCATTTACGTATTTGGTTATCCATTCTGTTATGTCCTTGTTAACATTATTTCAGTTTAATCTTCAAACAATTTACATAGGATTAGGGTCCACATTTTTTATTATTACATATCCATTATTGAAGAGAATAACATATTATGCGCAAGTTTATTTATCTATCACATTTAATTTGGGTTTTTTAATTTCTTCAAGTGTTAATATAGATTTATTAAATAATGCTGTTCCACTTTTTGTAAGTTTTATTCCTTTGTGTTATTTTACAATTATATACGATACAATTTATGCTCATCAAGATAAACATGAAGATATAAAATTAAATTTAAAATCTTTAGCAATAAAATGGGATAAAAAAACTTTGAAATATTCAAAATTTTTAACATTAAACATGACTTATTTGTTTTATCTCTCTGCCTATTTTTTCAATATGCATTACTCATACTATATTTTTTCCACATGTAATATCCTTTATTTATTTTTTTGTCTTAACAAGGTTTCTCTAAATGATAAAGAAAAATGCATGCAATTTTTTAAAAACAGCAAAAATATTTTGCTTCTCATTGCACTTTCTGCCCTTGCTGCCAAATTGTGCGAAGCATACAAAAGGAACGAATCCCTGGGTGATACTACTCCAATGGAGACACCACCGAAGAGGTTGTAGTGACAACTACAAAGATACACCATAGAGACCAAGCTGCACAAGATGTAATACTCCAAAGGTAATTAGAATTATTTCAAATCGGTTCATCAAGAAAGTGCACATAAGCCATTCATACCAAATAAACAACATCACCTTTATTTTATTTATTTTTTTTTTTTTTTTGTTTCCAAATGAATTCCTAATTTTGACTCGAGGAGGAGTAAAACACGTAAGTCATTTGAGGAGACGATTTATTTTTTTTTTATTTTTCCCCCTCCATTTGTCAATTTTATGGGACCATGTCTAGACATATTTTTAAATATCGAAAGAAAAGAAACGGAAGCAGGAGCCATTTAGGTGTCCTCCTCGATTTGTGTGCATATGAAAAGGTCTCTTTTTGCTTAAGGTTCAATTGGAAAATGAGTTGGAAACAAAAACAAATAGTATTATTGGGTATACAGCATGGAGAAATTGATGTGACGAAACAAAAATAGCAATTGGGAGGTGGCTATTGGGAAATGACCAATCAGTTAAAACACGAGACGTGAGAAGCGCGAGTCCTTTAATCATCCAAGAGGAATGTCAAATCCCTGGGGGGATGAACTTCACAGGTTTGTTGTACCTGTCATTGATATCTACAAAAAAAAAAAAAAAAAAAAAAAATGTCAATATGTAGAGTGGTAAAGTTGCCTAAGGTGTGTATATGTATGTGTGTGTGGAAAGATTGCTTATTATCTCCCTTTTATGTGTCCCCATTTTTATTGATTTCGTCTTTACCTAAAGTGTCTATTTTTCCGTTCATTAAATTCAAGTTCATTTTGCTGTGGGTGCAGATGAGGCATTGTGTGTGTATGTATGTATGTTTGTGCAGCCGAGGAATGGGATAGAGATGTACACACACGCACAAGCAAATGAAAAAGGAAAAGAAAAAGAAAAAGAAAAAGGAAAACGCGTGTTTGCAAATATTCTTGCATATTATCCGTGTTCTTCTTCTTCTTCTTCTGTTACACATGTTTTATCTGTGCAGAAATTTTTCCTCTGAATTATCCACCCCATGTTGTAACTTTTTTTTTTTTTTTTTTTTCCATCCTACCCTTCCATTGCATACGCGGGCATGGGTCCCGTTGGATTGGAGTTTTTTAAATTTGCTTTTAACTTGGTGAATAAGTCCTTGTCTAACAGGTTTGTATCAACACGGAAATTTGCGCCTCCTGTTGTGTGAACAAAAAATAAATAATAAAAAGGGAATAAATAGTGGTGGTGGTGGTGGTGGGGGTAAATAAATGGGTGAATGAACAAGTGGAGAGATAAAATAAAGTAACAATTGGAGAGTAGCTCTCTTAGGATGGAGACGTGGTAAAACGAGTTTGCAGTACTGTCTAAGGGTCCGTGCGAAAAAATTGATGAACAATGAATAGTGAAGAGTGAACAAAAATACACTCCTCTCCCCCTTTTCATGGGGCAGATAAGATAACCAAATCGAGGGATTGGCATTTTTTTCTCTCTTTATTCACACCTGGCATAACATTGGGTGGGACTCCCATGTTCAGTTTGGCAGCGTATGTGTCCAAGTTGTTGTTCGTTATTTCTTTGTTCAGACGGAGGTTGACTGAGAGTGGAGTGGCGTGCATAAATTTGTTATGCGTGTACGTGATTGGCAACACGAACGAGATGGGTACTCGAAAACATGATATAAACTTTACACAACAACCTCGCCCCGATCGCCGGGTATATAGCAGGTGTGTGTGTGTGTGTGTTGTGGACTTACCTTCTCTAGATATGCTAAGCTCCTTGGCCATCTCATCGTTTCGCCTCTTCAGATTATCTATCTCTTTGCGTAAGGTCTCCTCAGCGGAATCACGTTCTCCCAGCTTGGCATGCAAAGTTTTAACCTCATTGTGTAGTTTTGTGATTTCATTGATATTCTGCGAACTGATTTTTTCAATGTTGACATGTTCGATGGTTTTGGATTTTAATTTATCCTTCATTTTTTTTAACTGATTTTGTAACTTGGTTATGATATCATTTCCCTTGTTGATCTCATCAATAGCAACATTAATTTCCTTTTCCAATTTGACGTTTCTGTCTTTGTATTTTTTTAACTCCATTTCTAGATTATAATTACTCATTTTAATACTTTCAAAGCTTGAGCTATTTGAAATATTACTTTCGCATTCTTTTTCATATTTCGTTTTGAGATTGTTAAATTCGACGGTGAATGTATTTTTATATTTTTCGAGTTCACATTTGGCACATTCGATATCTTCCTTTTCTTTCATAAGTTTTACAAAATTTGTGTTTTTTTCTTCTAGCTCTGTTTTTAAATTTTTTACCTTACTGTTCAGGTTAAAAATTTTTTTTTCGTGATTTTCATTAATTTCATTTAGTTGATTAAATTTATTTTTTAAATTTTCAAGATCTTTTTTTAATTCTTCATTTTCACACGTAAATTTTTCTTCTCGTCTTTCAATAATTTTTTCATGTTCTTTTTTTAAGTTATTTATATCATTACTTAGAGTTAGATTAAAATCGCATTTCATGTTGTTCATACTATTTTCCAAATTTTCTATTGTTTTTTGTAAATTTTTAATTTCGATCATATTATTATTGTTTTTAATAATTTCCTCATTCACCTTTGTAATCATTTCTTCATTATATTCTTTTACATATTTTAGATTATTACACAAATACGTGATAACATTTTCGTAGTCGGCTCGTCTCAGTTGTAAAGACAAATGTGTTAATTCCTTGAATTGATTAATTTCCACAATATTGAGAATTGCAATTTCTGCAGTTTTTTCTTCCATACTGCTAGTGCATGCGTATGGCCGACAGTAATTCAGGTTACTGCTATTATTACTATTATTATTATTACTATTAATCCCACTGTTATAAGTGGCAGAATTGGGATGACTGTTATAGTATGGATTGTAGGATGCCATTTTCCCTCCACTGTCATTACCATTGTTAGTATAATTATTCCCTTCTCGATCAGCTGTTTTGTTGCTACTGTCAAGAATGAGAACAGCACGTAATCTTTGATCTTCCACCTTTTCACAATGCTCACTTTCAAGAACACATTCTTCTAACAAATCGATAAATTTAAATGGAAACAAATCAAAATTAATAACCAATGTTTGTTCTTTTTTTATTTTTTCATAATTCTCTTCGTATAAATCTAAGTAATAAAAAAAAGATTCATTCATGTCATCTGAGAGTTCCAATCTCATGTATTGTTTTCCACCAATATTTTTCATACTATTAATTTTCACAGTTAAAGTCTTAACGTAGTTATGCTTTGTTTCACATTTAACGAGAAATTTAATTGCCTTACAATAAATTAGTCCATTTTTATCATACTTATTGTATATAAAACTCATGTCTATGTTTTTATATAACTTGACAGAATTATTTACCCCTCTATTTTGTTTCATATTGCTACTACTTGTCATTTCTGACATTTTCGTGTTCTTTTCATTTATACTTAATTCACTGCAATTTCGATTATTTGTGCATATTATATTTATTTTTGTACCATTTGTCGCATATCCCCCTTTTCCCATCATATTCGAATTGGAAGTGCTTTGCAATGTAGAATTATCATTAGATATTCCTTCACAATCACTTCTCTTTTCGATGCTCAAACCGTAGCTATGTGTGCAATACTCGTTTTCATTAGTGTGGGAGGATACCATATTGGGAGTAACACTAGACGTCGTGTTTGCAACATACTCTCCATTCGTACTATCAGCGTATGAATAGGAATAATCTCTGAAATTATTTGCGGAGTTCATGTTCCTGCGTTTGTTTCCATTATAAATGAATCTTGGGATAAATGGTATTTACACATTTGTTCGTGTGTCTCAGTATTTCTGTGCATTTCTGTCTCTAATCAACTTGCAAACTTTCGCATTGCAAGTTAGGATCGCTCATAGAACAACTGTCCCAGCAAAAGTCGGTTAATTTAGGTGATGTACTAAATGTGATCAATGAGAATGAATAAAAAAAAAAAAAAAAAAAAAAAAAAAAGGATCAACAGTGATAGAGGGAGGAAACTAAGTCTAATCAATATCATTATTACTTGTTTCCAGTGTGTCCCCTTTCATCTAGGATAATCACCATAACATGTTTGCAGTTTTACGAAGAAAAAAAAAAAAAAAAAGAAAAAAAAAGAAAACATATGCGCAAAGATCAACAAAATGTATATGCACACGTGCAGGCATTACGGACGCGCATGAACATTTGGTGTCTATAATTCATGTGGTGATAAATAAATGAAACGTGGATACCCTTCCCTCCCATCTTTCTACTTTATTTATTTAGGTATATATATATATATATATATATTTTTATCTCTACTAACTTTGTAGCATTTAGGGAAGAATCTTCAGTACATCTCTTTTTGTCTACTTTAAGTATGCACAAAGGTTGGATTATTTCCCCCCCCCTCACAGTAGCCTATATAAATTCTGATGGATAGCGCTAAGCTAAATGGAAACAGAAATGACGCTTTCTCAGATTGGGAGAAATGAAATGGAAGATATATATATTTTACACGTGGACATGTGAAGTACTTGTGCTCATTATATGTGTAAATATACCTTGACCAAAAATGCGAGAGCATCAAAATGTGCAAATTGTGCAAAACGAGGTTGAAAGGGTTAACAAATAAAAAAAAAAAAAAAAAAAAAAAAAAGGACTTTTTACACATTACCTTATTTTATTACCATTTTATTACCATTTTATTACCATTATATTACCATTATATTACCATTTTATTACCATTATATTACTATTTTATCACTATTTCTCACTATTTATCACTATTTTATTGCTATTTTCTTTATATTCTGCTTTCTTTTCCCTACTTTTTAAGGAAAATTCCGCAAAAATGTTACCATTCTCTTTTCCAGTGGGAACAAAAAACTGCCCGTGTGTGTTACCATGGATGGGGGGAGTGTTTCACTTACACACACACGTGTGTATATGCAATGGCCAGAAAAATGTTGCACAAACAGCATAAGAAAGTGCCAAGTGGGGAATGCGACATGGCCAATGCGACATGACCAATGAGCCTAACTCGCCCAATAAAGTCGCAACATAAGTAAAAAAATTTTGCACCTCAAAAATTAGTGCACTTGGGAAAACATTGCAAATTTTGAAAGAAAAAAAAAAAAAAAAAATAAGCACTTGGTTAAAAATTAATTTTTGTCTATTTGTGCCAATGTGTGATTCCTCTCTTCCTTTTTACAATTTTGCGAGAAAAGTTGTAAAAAAAAAAAAATGTTTTATGATTTTTTCTGCAAGCCGCTTAGATTTTTAAAATGCGGATATGGAAGAGATTGCGAAGAGATGGCGAAGAAACTGCGAAGACATTGAGAACAAAATAAAGGGAAATGGAAACGATGCGAATCGAGGAAACAGGGAAAAGTGCTTTAACTCATTCTCACTTTTCATCAGCACCTTATTCGCATTTCCTGAAAGGTACAATATATCCATGTAATGCATATGCGAAAATATAAATAGTGGCATAGGTTGACGGAGCCACATGGCTAGTTTTTTTTTTTTTTTTTTTTTTTTTTTTTTTTTTTTTTTTTTTTTTTTTTTTTTTTTTTTTTTTTTTTTTTTTTTTTTTTTTTTTTTTTTTTTTGTTGCATCACGTTCTGTTAGTTCTGTTCGCACATATTTCAGTTTGTCAGTTCGGTTTGTCCTTCGGTTTGTGGCTCGGTTTGCTACTTTTTGCGTATCGCACACTAAATCCCATTCTCTGACACCTGGCCACTCTTTAGTTTACTTTATTTTTGCTAATGCACGAAACAGCTTTTAGCAACTCTTGTGCGTTAGTCTCTCATGATCAGTTGAATATATTTCGTGCCACCACACTTGCGTGATATGTAATTAAACATTTGTATGCACATGTGCATGTATCTTTTGTTTTCATATTTTTGTTTGGACAGGAAGAATATCTTGACCACTTTTTTTTTTCTTTTTTTTGCCTTTTTTACTTTTTTCTTTTTTGCAAATATGAAACGCTCAATTCTGTTAAAATAGAAAATTAGTATATAAAATGGACAAAACGTAGACTTTTGATTTATTGGAACAGATAAAATGGCAAAAAATTCTCACCCAAAAAAAAAAAAAAAAAAATAAAATACTTTTAGATCTTGTGCATATGCAAATGTGTGCGTACAGCTATGAGTTTATGGGAGTTACACATTTGTATTTTTGCCTCTCCCTGTCCTCATTATTATTTTTATTTTATTTTTTAATTGCTTTTATTTAATTACTTTGTTTATACCACTTTTACTTTGCTACTTTTATTTATTATTATATATTTTTTTCTTCTTTTTCACCTTTTTTTTATTACATTTTTTCATTTTTTTTTTTTTTTTTATTTTGTTATTCCCCAAAGTTCCTCTTTTACTCACTCTTTTCCATATAAAGTATGCGCAAAATGTGTGTAAAATAAGTGTGTAAAACATGTGTGTAAAAGTATGTGCAAAAAATTTGTGTGAATGTAACATGCGTAAATAGGTATTTTGTGCATACATATTCCTGTGTATGCAAGAGTGTATTTTATTTTATTTATTTAATTTATTTATTTATTTGTTTATTTTTATTTCATTTAATTTTTTTTTTGTTTTATTTCTTCTTTGCACTGCTTAGCAACCCCAGGTTAACATATTGCATGTATTTTTCCTCCCTTTTCTTCTCTATTCTTTCTTTTTCTATCCTTTTCGAATCTTTTAACTTTCTTTTTTTCCGAGCAGGTTAACTAAATACATATTCTTTGGGTTGAAAAAAAAAAGTATGTAAAAATTACATATCTTGTCCTTACCTTTTTTTTTTTTTTTTTTTTGTTTTTTTTTTGACACATCCATTTTAGCAGGCTCTTTTATGGAGCCCATTTTACATTCCTTCTTTTCCGATTTTTTTTTTTTTTTTTTTTTTTTTTTTTTTTTTTTTTTTTTTTTTTTTTTTTTTTTTTTTTTTTTTTTTTTTTTTTTTTTTTTTTTTTTTTTTTTTTTTAGCTTTTTTTTTTAAACGAATAAAGCTTATAGTATTAGATAATGCTAATACTGTATGAACGTTTTTTCATATGTGTTGATAAAGAGAGTCCATACTACATTTACCATTGAATCGAAACTTTTTTAAAAATTCTATATTATATCATTTTTTTTCATGTATACACATACGCAAGAATGTTTTTTTGTATATTGACTCCATACTCATAGAGTTTACAAATCCATTTGCATACATCATTTGGCCAGTTTTAATTAACACATAAAAAAAGTAACTTACAATCTAGCTAAAAGGGACCTATGTATTTATATTATATGATTTAGAGAAAATGCATATATTGGAAAAGGTACATGAGTGTAAGTGTCTGCAATTTATGTTTGTATCCTCACATCTGTGTCTCTACGAATGCATGTTATCAGTAGTCACATTTTCTGTGTGAAAAAATTGAAATGTGCCATTTAATTTTTTCCTTTTTTAAAGAACAAATCTATCACGTCGAATCCCTTTTTTTTTTTTTTTTTTGTATTCTTAATAACGAGAACCAATCGTAACTAATAGCAATCCTAGTTTACACATTATCCAGATATGTGTGTGCACACGTATATGTGCATATGTGCAAATATATATATATATATTATTATTTATATATATATATATATTATTATTTATATATACATATTTTTATATATATATACATATTTTTATATATATATATACATATTTTTATATATATATATACATATTTATATGTATATTCAAATCTCCCATCCGTCGGTTCCTTTCGTTTTGTTTTGTTTTATCGCATCTATAAGTGCAAATTTTACTCTGTTTGAGCTGTGTTTCTCGTTTTTACAACCATCATTATTTTTCAAGAACGAGATTTTGTGCTTACATTTTATTCGTTTTTAACTTTACTGTTATTCAATGCTGGATCACTGAAGCGGAAAATAGTTTTCTGTATGCATGCATGTCTTGTTCCAAGGAATCGACCATTTCTTCTGTCTACCCGAGTATAGGAGACAAGTAAAGTGTGTACTTCTCGATCTTTTCTTTCTTTTTATCAACAGGTGCAAATTTATGCTAAAATATATGTATATTTATTTATATATATTTTGTACTCTTATCCCATCCTTTTTGTTCAATTTTGTATTACCTTTCACACGTTTTATCTTGCTCTCTCACGTTTTTTTGAATTTTTTTTTTTTTTTTTTTTTTTGGTCCCCTAAAGATCGAGTAGTTCTTTACTTTTTTTTAAGATTAATATATTTGTGTGAGAAAGGGAAAATTACCCCCTCAGAATGGATAAAGAGCTATACAAACAAGTGCACCTTAGTATACATATATGCATGTTTGTAGGCATGTCCGTGTGCATGAGTATACACATTCATTTTTGTTGTTCTATTATTTATTTTTATTTTATTTTTTTTTTTGTTTTACACCGTCATTTGGGGGGCTGTGATTTTTCGTTCCTTGTTCAGATTCCGTTGCAAAGATTTACACTTTAGCCAGCTTTTGTAAATTTCAGAAGTGCTATTTGTTAAAACATTAGCAAATGTATTTTTGTGTCTGATCATTTATGAACATTATTAATTCCATTTGATTGAATTTTTATTTTATTTTTTATATGCCACCATCGTTAGCAGCGTGCCTAAGTGCCTCCATAATTTTTGTTCTCGAGTTTCTTTTTTTTTTTTCCCATTTTGTCACTACTCGATTGTTGATACCGTAGATATTTCTAGCTATTCTAACACGTCTAACACTTCTAACACGGCTAACACTTCTAACACGGCTAACACTTCTAACACGGCTAACACTTCTAACACTTCTAACACTTCTAACACTTCTAACATTTTTTTGCTTTGTGCCTCCTCCATTGTGCTCATTTGTCCACCTGAACATCAATCGAAGTAGTTCCGGCTCCCATTCATCATCCGTTTGAAGTGGTATATGCTTATGATCAATATCCAATGTTCACTACTAGCCTGATTTGGTAAAGACTTTTATTTTTTTTTTTTTTTTTTTTTTCTCAAATTTGCCTTTCATTTGATTAAAGATTATTATCCATTTACCCACCAGTGCAATTATGCACACATCTAAAGTAGATGCACGCAAATAGAAATAATCAAAGTACTGATAAGAGACCAAAAAAAAAAAAAAAAAGACACGAATATTTCTCCAAATAATAAAACCGATAACTCTTTATGAGTGGACAAATCTAACTGAACGTTGTATGCCACGGTTCGCTTTTAGAAGTGAAAAAAAAAAATAAGCAATACATACAAATGAACGAAACAAATTTCGAAATGGAGAATCATGGGAAGATAGAAACAGTTCCAATTCAGAAACAAAAAGGAGATTCCTTCGATAAAGGTAAAACTACTGGAGATAGAAGTGGTAGCAGTGGTAGCTGTGGTAGATGCGGTAGTGTAGATATCTTCGAAAGAATCCCTGTCGAGGGTAAAGTTGGCACGCAAATGAGTGAGAAACGCCAACCTAGCAAAATCATAGGTCATTCCTACAACCAGAAAAAAAATACAAATGAAGACAAGAAATATATGACGAACCCATTGAATAAAACAAAGAATACATATTTGACATATACCAAATTGCATGCAAGCAAAGGAGAAAGTGAAATGAAAAATTATCATCAAATAGTAAGTCAAAATGTTAATGTGTCTGTGAATGGAAATTTAAAAGGGAACCAAAAGAAAAATACATTCTACTCTCCTAATGAATATGGAAGATCGAATAATATAAATGTGATGAATAATTACTCGGGAGTTCAACGTCAGATGAATTGTATGTTAGTATATGAGTCTACGTTAGACAACCAGCTGAACAGACATACATATTCAGAACATAAAATCAACAACCAAAAGATTATCAAGAATCATCGAAACGATAAAAGTTCATATACAATACTGAATAAAAGAAATGAATTCCATTTTTCTGCAAAATACAACAGTAATATTGGTGCATTTCGTGATATGATGTACGAGACATCAAATACACATGGGGAATTTCCCCGAGAGAAAGATACTGTCTACGAGAATGTTCACACATCAAACGAGTTTCATATGAACGATACATCAAATGAGCCTCATATAAAGGGCATACGAAATGTTTCTAATGTAAGTAAAGAGACTTATAGTATCATATCTAAAGAGGTAAAGGATAACCAATTTCCCAGCTTAGGAGAGAGGGATGAACAATATAGAATCCAGGAGAAAGGGTCAGATGAACTGATGAAACAGAATACTTATTTTGCAGATAATGCACAAAATGACACAGTGTACTCAAGGATGAAGAACAGTAGCAGCTTATTGCACAAGGGAAAAGTGGACTCCAAATTTGATGCTACTTCAGAACAGATGGATGAAAGAAAATTTTCCTCAAAATGTAACAACTATGGTGCGGAGTACAACTATGGAGTGGATTACAACTATGGTGTCGATTGCAATCAGATGAAATGTTCCATGAATCCAATGCCATATGAAAAAGCTAGTTTCGAATTTGCAAATAAAAAGAAAAATTACAGAACTGGAATTTACAACAATTTGTTTAATATGAATGAACAAAGGATAAATTTTTTAAGAAAAGATGCAACTACATGTCTTAGTACCTTCAGCACAAGTTCCAATTTTCCCTATAGATTCAACATCCCTATTTATGACACATATAAGCAAAGTGAATCGAAAGAGATTGCTTTGAACCCACGAATAAATCATGCAATGGCTCTACCGTTTGATGGTATCACGGGTGGGAAGGACAATGTACAGAACTTCTTCCACAATGAAGTTACCAATGTAAGGAATTTGTCCGGTTCAGAGAGAAGGATATCGCTAATGGATGTGAAAACGAAGAGAATCCATGTAAAAGCAATCGATTCATTGAACAGAGGGAAAGATGGGACGCAATCGTTTGCAAAGTCTAATGAATTGTTAAGAAAAAATTACTTCAAACAGAAGCCAAATGAATTCGGAATTTTACCTCTAGAAATGAAAACTTTAAATAGTTTAAACGTCTGCCTTAGTCTTAGTGTAAAAAAAAGAATGAAGAAAACAAGATTAGAAGATCTAGGGAGAATGAGTAGTAGTATTAATTCTAAAATGAATCAGATGAATGAAATTTTTTTATCGAATAATTCTAAAGGGACAAATAAGAAAAAGAAGGGAAATAAAAATTTTAATTTAAATTTATGCAGTGCTTGTTTAAACATAGATGATGGTATATATATTAGACAGATAAATGAAATTATTAACAGAGAAATAAAATTCTCTGATGATGATATGGAAATTTTGGACGAATTAACAAAGTCAAGTGCTTACAATTCTTACGTTTTTAATAATATAAAAAGTATTAGCAGTTTTCGCAAAGGTGGATTAACATGGATAGTGTATAATAATAATAATAATAATAATAATAATAATAATAATAGCAATTTTTCATGTGCAAAAACAATGAAACAGATATGTATAAATTATGACAAGGTAGATACACATATGACTGATAATGAACACACATATGATGATCTAATTAAGAAAAATATTTTTTGTACGAATAAATATATTATTGAACCCACTATTGAAAATACATGGTTAAAAAAAGTACTATTAATAATTAAAAAAGAATCTTTAGATTTAGATGCCTTTTTTTTTAAATTAAAATATTATTTTTACAAATCGGTTCTGTTTTTATACAGAGAAGGTATCAAATCATATTTAGGAGATGTTGCTAACCAAATGAAAATTTATATTAATTATAATTTCTGGTCTGCATCTGAAGTTGCATATATTCTTCGTCAACTTACCAATTTGTGCAATATACAAATTGAAGTAAGAGTGAAGGGAGAAATTGGTTGTGTTATTTATTTAAACAATGAGCCCAAAGACTTTCAAGGATTTGTAGATAGTCATAACTTAAATGATACTTTTACTAAAAAAGACTGGATATTATTACATAAATTCGCAATCAAAATGATGCAATATAAGAAGGATCATAATGAAGATAATCAATACACGGAACCCAGTGCGCAAATTTCTCTCCAAGATTTAATGTCAAATCCAAGGGTTCATGAGAAAGATCTAAGTATACAAGCAGACGAGTCGACACGACACAAATACAACTCCCAGGGTCAGAGAGACAAAAGAGAAAATTATAGCAGCAAAAATGACGAAGCACCACAGGATGGAATCACAAATTTTGGATTATTAGCGAAACAGTTGAACCCTCGCTCGCATCTGTGTAGAAAAGTCAATGACGTGGGAACCCAGCAGGGAACATTGGAACAAGTGGACGAAGCGGGAGAAGTGGACAAAGCGGGAGAAGTGGACGAAGTGGTCGAAGTGGTCGAAGTGGACGAAGTGGTCGAAGTGGACGAAGTGATCAAAGAGGAGGGTCAGGAACCGAGTACTTTTCTCATCAAATTGACTAGTGGTAGTCTATCCCATCGTAAGGACGACGAGTTAGAGTTTCTCAGTTCTGCTAGCATAGCTGTTGCTGCTGTGGCTGTAGGTGCAGAATCGATACCTCCACCCATTACTTCACCCATTACTTCACCCATTACTTCACCCATTACTTCACCCATTACTTCACCCATCACTTCATCTATCACTTCACCCATCGCTTCACCCATCACTTCAACTATTGCTTCACCCATTACCCCAGCTCATGTTACTACCTCCACAGTTACTGTTACAACAAACACGTCCCCAAATAGAAACGATGAGGGAGGAGAATGTATCTTCTGCTCTCAATCGAATAAGAAGCTAAAGTCCTATATGTTCAACGGGGGACGATATGCATTTGCTGCCAAGTTGAAACAAGAAATTAAGCACTTCAAATCGAAAAGGTTAGGTGACATTATACATCTTGTGCAGCTAGCTATACATAAAGGAATTTTTGTATACTCACAAAGGATACTACTACCAGTTTCTGCATGCGAAAAAAGTGCTGATGATTTGTACCCCAAAATAAAAAATTTTAATTATGAATTATGTGAAACGCTAGAAGAAGTAATGAGAATCATATCTTTACTAGTTGACCATAAGCCAAATGGACTAGTTTTGGCACAACTGAAACAGCAATTTATTCTTCAATTTAAGAAAGAATTAAATAGCTTGCACTTTGGTTATAAAAAGCTGCAAAATTTGTTGCTAGCGGAACCTTTCTGTAAATATTACAAACTGTATATTCCAAACTGTAATTTGCATAGGACTCATATTCAGCATAAGAAGTATAAGACTCCTGATAACTGTAGAATATTTCAGAAGGAGAATGTGAGTGCAGGGTCGTACCTCGAGTTTATTGATCATCATGAATTTTACAATTACAGCGATGGAGAATCCAGTAGGGGTGACGAAGGCCATGAAGAAGACGTGGATCCAGATTCAGACACAGTGCCGGAGGAACAGGCAAAAGAAGAAGCAGCAGAAGAAGCAGCCGAAGCAGCAGAAGAAGACACAGCAGAAGCAGCAGAAGAAGACACAGCAGAAGCCGAGACAGAGGCAGAGACTGAAGAAGAACAAAGCGCGAATTTTCTTGACCTCTGCATGCCCTGTCCTCACAATGAACAAATCAAACGAAAGGGAAATATTGAAAAAACAAATTGCAAAAGAAAAGGAAGTTCTATGTATTCCCCAGAACAGGCTGTCATAAAGAGTGACGCACAAAGTACACAGCTCAATGGAAGTAATGAAAATACACTGAGTAATGTTTCTAGAAATAAGGTGATCCCAAATGAACTTGTAATCAGTGCGAATAAGAACACAGAACAGAGTGAAGATTCTCCATTTCATAATTCCATGAATGAGAAAAATGATATCCCCACTGATCAGAATTCCGTGTCCGCTTCGATGGACGAACATTGCAAAGAAATAAAACTTGAACAGAGTATTCTAACTTCTAACGAGTTTGAAGTAAAAAATGAAAATCAAAATCAGGATCAAAACCTAAAGCAGGATCAAAATCTAAAGCAGAATCAAAATAATTTTACAAATTGTGAAGCTCTTACCAGCAAGGGAACCCTTCTCACTGAGGAGAACCTGGAGGAACGATTTCAGCAGAATTGTCCATACCTCACCGAGAAGACAAATGTTCCAATAGAAACAGGTAAATCAGATAGACAAGATAATAAAGGAATGGAATTTTTAACTAGTGATACATATTATAGGAACGATAGAGAGAGTAACGAGAGGTTGAATGGGTCGACAAAATGGGAAAGGGGAAGAGAAGTTATCAATTCCAGGGGACACAATAAAAATGTAGAAATTAGTTACAAAAATTTGAAAAAATTACCAGGGTTCATTCAAGATAGCATAAATATAATACTTGATAATAATAAGGATGATTGTTATTCTTCTTTGGACATAAGAAATGTGGTGCAATTTTTTAAAGGAGATCAAGAAAATTATGAGAAATCTAACGATGTATACTTATCTATATTGTCTAAAATGTCAACGAGAGCAAGGAAAGACAACAATATTGCTGCAGAATTGAATGGAAGTAGAAATGAAATGATAAAGGATGCAAGCGAGAATGTGCCAAAAATGAAAGCGGATTCCAGTGTAAAAATTCACAACCACAGTAGTAGTGTTCTTAGCACATTGTATTACATGGATCTAGATGTGAATAATAACAATGTTGAGAAATTTCATGAAATAAAAAAAAATTTCGAAGGCATAACTAGTCGAGGCGATTCGCAAATCGCTCCTCCTCAATGTGGCTCTCCATGTGATATGATCCAGCTTAGTGATGAAGGGTACAATGAAAATGACAACATATGGTATTTCTCATCACAGCATGAGGGAATAGAGAAGAAAAGAAAGTATGATTCACTCATGAACGCAACGGTTTCGCCTCTACTGAATATTTACGGGCTAATTAGAAAGTATAAAAGAAAAAAAAAAGACTATCAATTGTTTTTCGAAGAAAGAAATAGTAATAATAGTAAAAGTAACAGTAATAATAGTAATAGTAACAGTAATAATAGTAATAGTAACAGTAATAATAGTAATAGTAACAGTAATAATAGTAATAGTAACAGTAATAATAGTAATAGTAACAGTAATAATAGTAATAGTAACAGTAATAATAGTAATAGTAATGATATTGACAGTATTGTAGCTCGTCATGCTGAGGTGCAGAATGCCATGAAACATAATCTCATTAATGAAAGGAGTTCATCTGTGGGGAATGTCCAAAATGATTCTCTACCAGTTGGATCGCAGATAAATAAATGTCAGCTCTTGAAGACGAATCAAAAATTTAGAAATGGCAAGCGTAATGCAATGGATACAAAGAAAACGAGAGGAGCGAAGGATGTGAAGGACTCGAAAGAAATGAAAGAAATGAAAGAGTCGATACAATCGATTGAACAAGAACCGATTGAACCAGAACTGATGGAATCAGAACCCATAGAAATGAAAAAATCTAGTGTTTTTAATAAAAACACTTTTTTCGAAAAAAAAAAATTCTCAAATATGCAATGTATCACTAATCCAATGAGAGAAAACAATTTTAATGAATCACATTTTGACCCCAATAGATCCAGGAAAAGTTATTTCGAATATGATAAAACGAATCAGAAAATTAATGTCGCTTCAAATTGGAATTCTGGAAAAAAAAATATAAAAACGTTTACAAATGAGGTTCCTCTATTGCTATCACATGGAGAGAAAAATAGTTCCATCATACAGAGACCAACAAATGGAAATGAAACCGTTATTCAGATAAGTGAATTGTCACCTTTTCCTAAAGAATTGCCACCTTCTCCAAGAGAATTGCAACCTTTTCCTGGAGAATCGTCACATCTTCCAGAGGGATCATCACTTTTGTCAGGAATTAACTCAATAAAACATCCATCATCTGATGTGATGAGAAACACAAAGCAAGGCGGAAACCCTAAACTGCACAAATATCATGGGCGTTTCAGAAATTTGACAAACCAATTAAATAATCAGAAATTTATTCGAAATAACATTCCTAATGTATACTGGAATGAATATCATCCCACTGATGATTGCCATGTAAGAAAAAATACAAAATGTCATTTCTATGGTAACCTAGGTGGAGAGGTAAATATATCACATGGGAGTTATTCCAATTCGAATGATTTGAAAATGTATGATTCCACTGGATTAGAAGCTAAGGAAAATTATGGAATAACAAACGGAATAGCAAACGGAATGAACGCTACCTCAGCCAATGTTGAAGAAACACACGGTAGTGTTCCAAGTAAAGTAAATAATGAGCAGAATGACAAGGGGAAAACACAATTCGCTGGTTTTTACAAATGCAATTTGAATAGTATAACAAATATTAATACACAACATGGAGAGAACAAAGTAATTGGAACATTGGGAGGTAAGTTACCATGGAACCCCTTGAACAATGGAGATGATGAAATCATAGCTAAGGAAAATAATATTACAGATGAAACAAGCAGAATTATTTGTAAAAATGAAAACATAAAAGAGGATGATAATATGTCTATTGATGTGTACCAAGACAATTCATCTTCTCATCTGTATGTGGAAAATAATAATGTATACACGGCTCCCCAAACAGATGAAATACATAACGATGAAGCTATTAGAATAAATATAGAGAACAAATCACATCACTACGATGACGAAGTAGATGCACAGGAATTAGAACCCATCATCGATTCAAAATCTTTGAAAAAGGAACTCATGAATTCGAGTCAAATCAATTTCGATCATGGAAAAATAGACATTTGTTCTTCATTTCATAATACCAAGGAGAAATTAATCCGTAAGGAAGAGAAAAATACCATTTTATTAAATTCTTTATATAATGTGAATCCATTAATGATTGAACAAAATTTAGATGTAAAAGGAATTCACGAATTTAATTACAACAATGATCAAAATTTCCAACAATACTATTTAAGAACTCCAGAAATGCACCTTAAGAAAAATAGACTTATCAACTTTTCTAATGACGAACATTACTATGATGTACCACAAAATGTATGCCCAAGCAACGGAATTATTTTGGATTATAAGGTGTCATCTTATGAGGAAGAAGGAGCCCCTTATGGTCAGCTTAATTTTGCTTGCTTAAAAAAAGAGAATTATGTAAACTGCAATATGAACATAGTGGGTGAAAAAAACGACAATAATAGCAACTCCACGGCCACAACAACCACTTTTACGAATATCAACAGTGCAAGCAATCAAAATAACATCAGCAGTGATTACAAGGTTAGCAATGATTGCAAGGTTAGTAGTGATTACAAGGTTAGTAGTGATTGCAAGGTTAGCAATGACTCACACGTTTCAGGTCAGGACAAAATTGATCAATGTGGTGAATCGTGTAGAGAAGGGAAAACAAACGAACAAACTAATCGTCTGCACAACCAAGTTATTCAAGGTGAAAACGAGGACGATAGTCGAAACGCAATAAAATTGTTGGCATATGATAAGAAGGATGAAGCAGATAATATGGGAATAAGCCACAGAGGTGAAGTGGTGGGAAATTATGAAATGGACAAAAACTGTAACTACGAAATATTTGGAAAAACAAAAATGACACAAAAATGTAATAATAAGGAGAGTGGGAATTTAAAACAAAAATACAATTCGTTTGAGAACAGAAAATCATTATCATATGTTAGTGCACCATATGTCGGGGTGCAAAATACACTAAATGGATATAAAATGGATGATGGGAGGAAGAAAAATTTTATAAAAAAAAACGAAATTCCAGTTAACCATGAATTCACAGAATTGTTAAACACTAAAAATAATTCAAGAGAAGAACCGTTCTTTTTATCTCAAAATAAAAATGATGAAAATATATATGGAAATATGATTAGCACAATAAAAAATGATAAGACACAATGTGCCAACAATAATTTCTTTCACTACAGAAATGAAAAGTTCGAAAATGGATATAAAAATAGAAGCATTCTTAAAAAAAATAAATACGCAGACTCTAATTCAATGTTAAATCATGAGGGGAAAAAAAGTAATCACATAATTTACAATTCCTTAGAGGAAGAACACAGAAAAAGTGAAAGACAAAGAAACATAATTGATAACAATCATAATACAGTAGAAAGCAAAGTAGGAAGTAGAATAGACAGTACCATAGGCAGTAGAATAGACAGTACAGCATGCAGTAGAATAGACGGGGAAGCAGACAGCACACTCGACAGTAGCATTCCTGAGCTGCTTAGAAATAGTGGTACGTTACTTCACAAATGTGGAGAAAGTAGAAAAAACAGTTTAATCCAAAATACCTTTTTGCCATCATATCAACAAAATAAAAAAAACAATTTTGTAAAATATGGAAATTTAAATATACCTTATGTAAATCCAAGAGATGAAAAAAAAAAACACCAAAGAAAATACTTTAATTGCGCTATGGATGGAGGAAAAACACAATTAATCAATGGAACTACCAATTTTAGTAAAATTTGTAGAATTAAAAATATCTGTTTGGATAACTTTTCCATGAAATATTCCCCCTTAGACTCAAAGAAATATTATAATGCCACAAAAAATTACGCATATCAAAATAAAACGAATATTGATCTTCCGTCTCTTCCTATTTCAAATGAATATATGAAATTCTCTTCCCTGGTGAAAACCAAGAACCGAATAAATACTCATAAAAATTTTATGGAAAATCATATGTTTAAAACGAGAGATCATCCATCCTTCAATGAAGTTAAGGGGAGTCATCACATGCGAGGAGGAAATATTGTGTAATCAAATTTAGGAAAAAAACTTACGCAAAAAAAAAAAAAAAAAATCCATGCTCAATTACAACACCTCGGCACTTGGTTTAATGAAATATATTAATCATTGGATTATTATATGAACAAATGCGTTGTATACGTGTGGAAGATTATGTAAAATATGTACGACCTGCATTGAACTCACACATATACATTCATATATCTTTCTATACAACAAAGTCGCAAAATAGACAAAATGGAGATATAACACGTGAAAAATAAAAAAAAACAAAAAAATATATAAAAAAAAAAAATATGACCACATGGATGGGCAATAAATAATAATGCATTCTTTATGAAGAACTTTTCAATGTAGAAAAATGTCTTAATTTGCACAAGAGTGTGCTAAAAGTGGATAGTGGATACACATTTTCACAATCTTGTAATCTACTAACCAGATCGGTATCGTGTGCCGTGAAATCATCTACCCAGCGTGGTCGTGTGCTTGTGTCATAGGTACACAAAAGGACACTAAAGTAGAGTCAAATAAAATGGAGAAAAACAAAATGGAGCAAAATAGAACAGTGTAGAATACAGGAAAATAATCTTCTTTCCAAAATGCACTTGTTTGCTCAATTTTTTTTAAAAGTGTCTTTCTGCAAAATAAATAAGCAAATTTGATCCCTATTTGTTTGTTACTGTTTTTGTTATTTTTTTGTGTTTTCATTTTTGTTTTTTAGGTTTCGTTTTTTTGTTAATTATGTTTTATTTTTTACGTTTCGTTTTTTTTTTTTTTTGTTTTCTACGTTTCGTTTTTTTTTTTTTTTTTTTTTTTACGTTTTTTTTTTTTTTTTTTTTTTTTTTTTTTTTTTTTTTTTTTTTTTTTTTTTTTTTTTTTTTTTTTTTTTTTTTTTTTTTTTTTTTTTTTTTTTTTTTTTTTTTTTTTTTTTTTTTTTTTTTTTTTTGTTTTTTTTTTTTTTTTTTTTTTTTTTTTTTTTTTTTTTTTTTTTTTTTTTTTTTTTTTTTTTTTTTTTTTCCTGACCTGTTCATACAGCTAGCCAAAATAATTGCTAATATTAACTAAAATATTGATGTGCGCTTAAATGTGCATACGTAAGGATAGGAGGGTATATGTGCAAAATGGCACGCCTTCCTTTCTATTAATACCGCTAAAAATGTAACATATCCCTTTTTTTTTTTTTTTTTTTTTTTTTTTTTTTTAATCTTTTTTATGAACATTAATAAACTGTTTTAACACTTTTCATACTTTAATTTTTGCACAAAACTTTTCAAGCAAGAAACGAATTTATCAATTCCCATTGCGTACTTTGCACTGATAAAGAAGATTGGCACTTCGTTTCCCCCGTAGGTTTTTATGGCCCTGTATGCTTCTTCAGCTCTTTTCATATTTTCCTCGAAATTTACGTCACATTTGTTTATAACCACGATGTATGGCTTGTGGTATATGTTTTCATCCTTTTGTCGTAGTTCTTCCCTGAGTGGGGTGAAGTGGTGATACGACATGGTGAAGCAACATGGTGATGCGACATGGTGATGCGACATGGTGATGCGACATGGTGATGCGACATGGTGATGCGACATGGTGATGCGACATGGTGATGCGACATGGTGATGACACATGGTGATGACACAAAGTAATGACATAGTGGCGTGAGAACATTACCTGATACTGCAAAACTGAAATGTCGGATCTCCCATCATATCGAGAACGATAACAAGTAGGTGGGTGAGTTCCAAATAATGAATGAAGTTTGAGTTCACGCGGAAGGGGGAGCTTTGATGTGAGTTTTTATTTTGACTGAATTTGTCCAGAGGGTGTTCATTTGCATGGGCAAGATCCGTGTCAATTCCCATATCATTTTCACTAAAAAAGTCCGCAACTGATACCTGAAAATTGTCTGTAAAGATAATTTTTTTTAACACGTATGAGTTATTTACTGTGTGTATTTTATGTGTTATCAATGACAACAAAGTTGATTTGCCTGACCCTTGATAGCCTAAAAAACAAGTGTCACTAATACATTTGTAAACAATTTTTATGAACGAAACTTCCCCTTTCTTTCCCTTTTCGAAAGAATAAGTATTTTGCATATTATTTCCCTTACCACCCTCTCCACCTTTGCAAATTAAAATACAGTTATTAATTTTGTTTAAAAACCCAATGTGTATTTCTCTCCCCACTTGCTCGTCTATTTTAATCAGTTCTTTTAATATATGCATATTTTTTTTTATATAAACTGGATCTTCTTTTTTTATTACATTATACACTTTATTTTCGTAATGAGACTTATAATATACCAAATTGGTGTGATCCTCCGTCACGTGCGACGTTGTCCATTTGTTGGTCTCTTTCATATGGAATTTATTTTTCCTCTCATCGAAGGGTTCCCCTTTCTTGCAATTTGTACTCTCTCTCAGATTGCAAAAAAATTCATCACTTTGTCTTATCTCTTTTTTTCCACTTCCCGTTTGCTGTCCTTCGCTTTGTATGTGTTCTCCCCTGCCGTGCATCTTTTCTCCTGCACGTGGGAAAAGTCTATAGACATGACACATTTTATTCAAATAAATAAAAATGCTCATTCCATTTTTACCTCTCAATTGATTGGCCCTTCCCTTTCCACCAACAGTTGACGATATTGTACAGGGTAATTCAGCCAAGTTTTTAATATACATGTATTTATGTTCTCCTCTGTTTTTCCATTTCATTTCATTTTTTCCCCCATTTATATCAGAATAACATAAATATATATTACCACCATTCCCTCCTTTCCCTCCATTTGGTATTCCCAAAGGTCCCAATACTTTTCTTTTGAATTTTTTAAAGCTTACAGCACCATCTCCTCCTGATCCACTTTCACATTTGATAATTCTTTCACTTTCGTAAAAAATAGATGACATTCTTTTGCCTACTTTGCACATATCACTTTTGATACTCAATACACGGTTCTCTTGCTCGTCTGCCGGACATTGCATATTTTCCTCCATTTTATCTTTCTCATTCTGTTTATAATTTCCCTTTTCCTTGTGTATTCTCTCTACTCTGGATTTTTTATTTTTTACCCCAAATGAGGAATGTTCATATGTTTTTATATTTTTATTCGTCGCTTTGTCAACAATTCTTATGCTATAGAATTGTTTTCCTTTTCCAGAAAACAGTGTTACCCCCATGATTTGGCCCTCGTTTTTTTTCTTTTTTTTTTTTTTTTCTCTTTTTCTTAAAAATTTCATTCTCCGTTTATGCATTTAAAAATGTGTTTTATGTTATGTTTACTTCTTGGTTGATGTATTTTTTTTTTTTTTTTTTTTTTTTGATATTTTTGGAAGAAGCACTTTTTTTATCTTATGTCCTCTGTTCTTATGAACTCAGCAGCTTGTTATTCCCCTCGTAAATTTTTTTGCCGTCCACAGGAGGAGTCATTGTTCAAAGGATTCTACATAAATATGAAATGTATTTTTCATAATTTCAAGTCCTTCAAATGATAATGATGTTTCATAGGATTAAAAAAAAAAAAAAAAAAAAAATGTTATTAAGAAGTTGTAACACTGAATGCCCACTTTATTAACACAAAGGTTGTGTGTATATATACTGACGTAATTTTGGGATCACATTTTCACTCTTTTGCAAACAAATATGTGATAACTTCACAAATGGGGAATGTGGGGTGCCTGAATTTTAAGGGTTATGTGAAAGTATGAGTATGAAGAGCTGAAGAGGGGAGGGCTACCTCATACCCATAGGTAACAGCGTCCACAGACGTTTACGTGCATAGTTTCTTATTTTTTTTTTTCCTCTTTCTTCTTAACGTCCAGATTTGCTTCCAAATTGACAATTTTTTTTTTTTTTTTTTTTTTTTTTTCTCACGCCCTCTTATATAACCCTTAATGAATAGAAGCGAATGGCCCAAAATACCTCAGAAGCTCGATGACTCATTCTCCTCGGAAAGTTGCCACGTTACATATGAACAATATTTCCTCTTCAGGGAACACTTAATTTAAATTTGAATAAACAATTCATTTTGTACACTAGTAGAAATATATTCCCCATTATATTCATACCGTTCCTACACACTTGTGTAGAGGTGTCACACGAAGAGGCAATTTCTTAACTTACTAATAGCAGTCCATTTACATGAAAAATGCATATTGTCTGTTCTACCTCTGCAACTTCCTCATCGAGGGAAGGAATAAGAGAAAAACATTTTACCATTTGAAAATAAGAAAGGTAAACCATGCACAAAAAAACAGGATTTATGAAGGAGATAACAATTATAGCTATTTAGATCAAAGCAGAAATTCAGAATATGAAGAAATTCTGAACGAAATAATTCATGAATACGAAAAAGAGGAGAAAAAAAATGATAAAATAAGTCAAGAGGAAACACAAAAAAGTGGCCACAATAGGGAAAATAACAAGTCGACACATTACAATGTACAAGGGAATAAGGAAAACATTTGTAGTACCATCGACAAGGAAAAGAAGACACAAAATAATACACACAAATCAACAAATCAAGATGAAATTAAAAGAATTGAAAATTTTAAGGAAAAAAATTTCTTAAATTTATGCAATATAAATTATGATGTATTAAGCATATTGCTTAAAAAAGAATTAGAGGATTTTCAAAAGGAAGAAGAATATGAAAATAATCAATACAACAAAATCAGCCTATTTCTTGAAACACAGGTAGGGAAGCACGGAAAGGGGACAAATAACTTATACATCGACGACAATGTTGGCAGGTACTTAATCAAAATGGACAATAAATTTATCAATTCCATTTCTCAAAAGGAATTACATGTCTTACGAAACAGAATGTACAAACAAATAATACACTTAAAATATCAGTACTTGAAGAGCTACAAAAATGCAATTCATAATTTAAAGCAAGTAAGGGAAAAAAGAACTCAGCAAATAAACAAGTACGTTTCTGTAGTCTACGAAGAGGATGACAAGCAAGACGATGAGAGCAGAGGTGACTATAGTGATGAGGGCCGAGGTGACCATAATGATGAGGGCCGAGGTGACCATAATGATGAGGACCGAGGTGACCATAATGATGAGGGCACAGGTGACCATAATGATGAGGGAAGAGGAAATGTTAGGGACTCCTTTAAGTACAACGCTGCGCATGGAGAAAGGCGGATCGATGGAGAACAGACATCTAGAAGCATAGCCAAAGAATTTCCCCCAAGTAGTGATAAATCAAACTGTAGAAGCAAAAATGATCTGAACAAATCTACCACTTTTCAGATGAATAATTTAGGTAGAGACAAGAATTCCAATGTTAGCTACTTAAAACAATACAGCGATAATTCAGAAAATCTTGAACAGATAGATAAAGAACTTTCGATAGAAAATATTAAAGAAATAATGGATGTTGATGAAAGACTTTCCAAATTACAAAAAAATTTTGATGACTTAAAAAGTTTTAACATATTTCACATTCTCAATCGAAATAACTTCCTAAATAATTTAAGAATTCATAATTTTTATTTTCATAACTATGATTGTCCTTTACTTTTCAAATCTATGAAATCGTTTGTTAAGAAAATCCAGAAGGGATGTTCAAGTGGTCACACTATCCACAGTTGTGATGACACCCCTAACGATGACACTGATAGAACGAATAATAACGGGGCAGAGAAGGAAAAGTATGAGAGCGAAAAGCATGAGAGGGAAAAGCATGAGAGGGAAAAGCATGAAGCTGATGAGCTTGAGAAGGCACAAACCTTCGCGAGCAACAACTGTGCATATATGTGCGTTCCAAAAATAAGAGATCTCAGTTTCCTGAAGCATGAAAACAAGTCCATCGTCATTAACTTGTCAAGCAAAGAGGACAAGGAAAAGGAGCATCTCCCCCCTGTGAATGAGCTAAACATCGAGACAGACAAAGGCATACTAGTCCTAAGTGCGAACGGGAAACACCTGGATGTGAATGTGAGAAATATTTGCGATAAAATTTCGTACCTAACACAGAGTTTATCCATATGTCCACAATTGGACTATCAACATGAGGGGAATGACTTAAGAAATATACAAATTATGAAGAGGATACTCATGTTGGTGTTGTTTTATTTCAATATAAAAAACATGTTCGTCATATGCTTAGATAACGTCAGCGCAAAATTCTTTTACAATTTTCTGAACAGTCAGGAGGATAATTTATTTAAAAATTTGTACACAACAGAAAAAGAAAAAAAAAACGATAAAGACGAGTATTTATATGTGAATTTAAACGATGTGAAATTTTCACACATATTAAACAAGAAATTTGTACCCTTATATAATGTAAAAAACATTTTCAAGAATTATGTCTTTCTTATGAACAAGGAAGACAATTTTTACAATATCAGTACTTTCAAAAGATCTTGCTTGTTCATGTTTTTAGATGAACAAATGAATAAACAAAATCATGTAATTTCTTCATCCGTTCAACATTTTTTCTACTACAAAAAATTTGATTACCCATTTATATACAATATTGATAAAAAATTCTCCTTAAACACATTAAGGAATTTTAACGAAATTTTACTGTACCTTACTAGTTGGATAGACATATTTCACACAGGGGAAAATGAAACCAATGATGTAAAGGAGGATGAACATGAACAGGTAGGAGGGGATGACGTACCAAGTTCAGATTTAGAATATGAGGAAAAAAAGATAGAAAAGGACCAAGAGGAGGAGGAATTTATTCAAAACATGAAAAACAAACAAGAAGATGAAAATGATGATTATCCTTACGAAAAAGACGAAAGAGAGTGCGATGGGGAATACGGATCATATACATATGACCATAAAAAGAATGATCATAATATGGATGAATTAGAACGGTAGAAAATGCCAAATTGGGATAAAAAAAAAAAAAAAAAAAAAAAGTTTAAATATGAACTGTTAAGGTATTTAAAAAAAAAAAAAAAATTAGCTAAAATAGCTAGCTGGACAGCTACTCAGAGTAAAAAAAGTACTTTCATAATAAGAACAGTTTAGAACGAAATGGGTACAATACAATCAGGAATGCTGTATATATGCACACACAAAATGCATTAAGCGCGGTACAGTTAAAACCCCCACATTATCCCTTTTTTATTTTATTTCGTTGTATTTTTTTTTTTTTTTTTTGCATTTTGTTGTACTCTTTTTTTATGCTAGTTATTTTTCCCATTCCACTCGCGCCTTAAAACCACATTTGAACTTCCTTATTATAAAAAGAACAAGATAGATAGATTTTTTTTTTTTTTTTTCTTTTCTCATCAAAAAGGTCAATGGTATCAACTCCATATGTCAGCTCATTATCATTGATCACTCCTTTATGAAAAATGAATTCTGTAAATGGGTAGAGGGTGGGGAAAAAAAATCAAACAGACAGATGGTAAACCTTCACGCGCATAAGTGTGTGTGTGTGTGTGTGTTTGTGCATGTGTGTATGTATGAACAAGCTTATGTATGAGTAAAATATGCACATTTCTTAGGATACTCGTACCATCGTCCTTCTTCTTAAATATCCGTGCCCCTCCGTCACACGCAGCAACTAGGAGTTTATACACCTCTGTGCCTCTTAATGGGGAGAAAAAAAAAAAAAAAAAAAAAAAAAAAAACATAAAACAGTAAGTACTAAACAGTAAGTACTAAACAGTAAGTACTAAACAGTAAGTACTAAACAGCAAGTACTAAACAGCAAGTACTAAACAGCAAGTACTAAACAGCAAGTACTAAACAGCAAGTACTAAACAGCAAGTACTAAATAATAAACAGTGAAATGACAAAATGTCTAAGTAGCGAAGCAGCAAGAATCGTTAAATTGCTCCACTTCGTAACAGGTGGCTCTCACTCTACATACTTGTATAATAATTTAATCCTCCATATGCTAGACTTCACGTCCACAGTTTGAAAAGGGTCTTGGAAGTTTCGTGCATCGAAAACGCGAATCTTGTTGTCATACCTTCGCGAAAGAGGGTGATGCATAAGTGATTGTTCGGGTGTAAATATATATGCAAATCCATATATACGTGAATATGTGTACACTCCCACCCTCACCCCATGGGGGAAATAGGAAAATCACGCAAATGATATCTATATATTTCTTACGATCCCGTGTATAAGTGCTGACTGAAACTGTCGAATTTAACTGCCGTGACACCTTGAGAATGGGATCTAAAACAAACGCGTGGGTGGGGGAAAAAGAACGAATAAAAATGTTCACACATGAAAATACACACAAAAGGGGAATATCAAACTAGTTTGTAAATGATAAAAAGACACTTGAAGTAATTCCATTTCATATATATATATATATATTTTTTTTTTTTTTTTTTTTTTTTTTTTGCAACATGCACTGTTAAAAAAGGATATGTTACTTTTTATTTTTTGTAGAATGTGTCGCTGTTCTTAAATCCCAAATTACAAAGGAACAATCATCAGATCCTTCGATTTAAAAAAAAGGATAGAAAAGATAAAAAAAAAAAAAAAAAAAAAAAAAATATGCTTAGTTGCCATTTTGAAAAAATAATGAACGAACAAGTATGTGCATACACAAATGAAAATATTTCCAAACCTGTTGTTACTACATTTTCGTTTCCGTTAAATGTGCATGTCCATACGTGATATTCATGAGCCCTCCTGAGACAAAAGACAATTTTATGTGTTATTCATGGATTGTGTTTTTAGGTGTATAATATATGTATTATGTGTATGAAATAAGGACTGAGAATATCAGGAATATCACTATATGATCAATGTTGCCAAGACAATCAAGAAGAAGAACAAGTTCAAAAAGTTAATCTTTTAAGGAGATAATTGGGAGCGTCTTCTGTTTCGAATTTTTAAGCTTGTCCCTTAGTACAGTCGCCCATATATTCATACAAAATAACTATATTGCATGCACCCTTTTCTATGCGAATATTGTCACACGTTTTTAATCGGGCTTACCACAACTTGCTTTCTTTCCCGTCAACGAGAAAGCAGACATCCCCATTGCTGAAGGAAACGCACACTTTTCTAAGAAGAGGTATTATGAGAATTAGAAGTAATGCAAAGCAACGAGAAATAAGGAGAAATAAGGAGAAATAAAGAGAAATAAGGAGAAATAAGGAGAAATAAGGAGAAATAAGGAGAAATAAGGAGAAATAAGGAGAAATAACTAGAACTGGGTTGTAATATTCGATTTGTTCATTTGTTTTCACATACAACCTCGCTCTGCTATGCGAATTTCTCCAATTCGTTATTACTCAGGTTTTCCATCGAAAGCGTCAAAGGATAGGCCTAAAAAAAAAAAAAAAAATACAAAGTAGAGTCTTTTTTTTTTTTTTTTTAAATATATGTATACTTCCTTCACAGTTGTCACTTCTTTATAATTCATAGCATAGTTGGATAGATAACCTGAATTGTTTTTTTCATCCAATGTTGCAAACACAAGATTATTAGTTTTGTCCTTCAAGCTGGACACATGAAAACCGTTAACACATACACTTCCTAAGATTATACTCTGTAAATAAATTTATGTGATAATAACCCAATGATATGAAACGAAGAGGAGAGGGGAATAACTTAAAATGGTTTGGTTTAAAATAAATGGAAGCAAATGGAAAGAAAAACAAAAGGGACACAACGGCTTCATGTAGAATCACAACGTGGACACGCAAAAGATTCCTTTTTTTTTTTTTTTTTTTTTTTTTTTTCTGTACATCGTGGGTGAATAGGTAATTCGACTGCAGAACGCCGCTACGAAAGTTTATGTTGCTGTCGTATGTCAAGCGGGGGTTACTTGAAAGAAAAAAAAAAATGGTGGCATATGAGTGTATGGTGAATAAATTATAACAGATGATATATTCCACATATCACAAGAGTAAATGCATTTCCACATACTTCATAAAAAATACAAATGCAAATTTTTAGTAATTTTCAGTTCACACATTTCATAGTAGTTTCCATCGTCAGTTATATTTTCCTCCAGTCTATAAAAGTACACTTTGCCTTTTTTTTTTTGTTCATTTCTTTCACAGTTTCCACCATGATTTTTACTCTCATCATCTATCCTGTCAATGCTCTTGTTGATTTTAAGTTGGTATGTTGAAATGGCTGTTAAGCCAAAACTGTGACTGAATTTATCCCCTTTGAAATTATAATATGAGAATGGGGAAAATAAAAAAGGTGAAAAAAAAAAAAAAAAAAAAAAAAAAAGAAAAAAAAGGTGTGTAAAGGTATTAAATGTAAAATCAAAAAGGAGAATGTGGAATGCACCCTATTAATACTTTTTTTTTTTTTTGTCATTTTCTAACAGTTGCTGTTTAGTAGTGTGCTACTTGGATATATACAAATATCATCACAACAGTATTTCAAATTGTATTTCCTTTTAATCATTTTTTTTTTTTTTTTTTTTTTTTTTTAGCAATATTTTAAGAAGTTTAAAAAAGTGGAAGTGTAAAATTGCATCTTAATCAAAATGTTTCACACTTGGAAGGCGTGGTGGTAGAAATGGGTTCCAAAATTTTCGACAATTAGTATAAATGTATATACATGCATGTATATATATTTGTTCGCATATTTGTGCCCTTCATCACTAGTCATTTCGCTTATTTTTCTTCTCCATTTCAATTTATTTCCTTGCTCTGACACGAGGTTGGCCCTGGCTTTTTTTTTCTTTTTCTTATCTGTGTGGTGTGGCAAAAAAGAAAAACATATATATATATATATATATATATACATATGCAAAAATACGAAAAAAAAAAGAAAAAAAAAGAAAAAAGAATTATACGCTCACTATCCTATTAATGCATCCCCCCTTCTTTTTTTTTTTTTTTTTTTTTTTTTTCACTCCACGTCGCTTCTCTTCATTCCGCTTCATCCCGTTTCTTTTTTCTTTTAAGAAGTGAAAAAAAAAAAAAAAAAAAAAATGAAAATAGATATTCTATGTATTTTTAATGAAACCAAGATTGCTTGTTGTTCTAGCCACACTTTTAAGGTCTTCTTTTTGCTTACTTGTTAAAAAAAAGAGTGGAACATTAGGGTATACAAATAATAGTTCCATCTTGGAAAATTTTGTAAAGGGAAGAACTCTTGGGAAATATTTTACGAGTGTAAAGAAACATGTATGTAAAAATGGATGCGTAGATGATGGACACGGGGTTAAGACTTTACGTCAGTTTTTTGCACACGACAAAGGGGAGATGGAGTGTACACAGGACCGTCAAGTTGGTAATGCAGATGACACCGATCATGACAGTAGAAGCGACACCTGCCATGACACCAGGGACGACACCACGAGTGAAAATTTGCCCTGCATGGAAAGACAACAGAGGCAAGAGAATCAATGGAATGAAATTGGTTCAAGGGTGTGTAAGTTCATGAATGCGTCTAAGGAAGGAGATTACTGTTATCTGTATTTGTATCACATTTACAAAAAGACAAAAATAATAAAAAAAGAAAAATATATATATAACCCAACAAAATATGAATCTGTAAGGTCCTACATCAAGAGGGAGCTAAAGGAATGTCTTGATATAAACACTGCTTCTTACATTTTCAAAATTAGTGAATATTATGCTAAGAACATTTTAGACGTTTCTGTTTATGTTAACGAAATTGTAAGCCTACTAAGTTTTTTCACCTTCAATGATAAGTGCAATTTGACTAATGTCGAACTGGATCCAGATGAAAGGAGTAACAATGTCATTCATAATGTAAGGGGGGAAGATAACCAATCGGAATTTCAAAACAAGAACACAAAAGATTTATATGATGAAAGTGAAATGAGAAAAATAAAAAATGAAGAGATCATTGCAAACGACGTAAGTGAGAATGCTAGCCAAAGTGACGATGTGGAACACTTCCTTAAAAAGATGAGTGAAGAAAATAAAAAAACAAAAATAAGAAAATTTTTGCACAAAGATGAAAAGTATAAATCTTTTTGCTTGTATTTCTTTCGATTAGTTGATTCACTAAGTGGGCTATTCTGCTGTATGGGCAAAAGAAAAAAGAGAGAAGAAATTTTTAACTTTTTAAAAAATACAAATTTAAAGGGAAAATGGAAAAACTACAATTTGAATCACATCAATTTCGATACCAATTTTATGATTTACATAATTAGATTGACCAAATATAAGGATGCTAATTATATCTGCTCTTTGAAGCGGCTGAAGGAGTACACGACACAACAAATAAAAGAAATCTTCCTCAACTGCATACATGATAACTTGCTCGATTGTGGTTATTTGAAAATTTTAGAATTCGAATATGTGGCCCGTGAGAGGCACAAAAGCGAATTGGCTACCTGCATCTTTCCGCCACTGGGTTCATCCATGACACAGAGTGGTAGTAGAAGTGACAGCAGAAGTGACAACAGAAGTGACAGCAGAAGTGACAGCAGAAGTGACAACAGAAGTGACAGCAGAAGTGACAACAGAAGTGACAGCAGAAGTGACAACAGAAGTGACAGCAGAAGTGACAACAGAAGTGACAGCAGAAGTGACAACAGAAGTGACAGCAGAAGTGACAGCAGAAGTGACAACAGAAGTGACAACAGAAGTGACAGCAGAAGTGACAACAGAAGTGACAACAGAAGTGACAACAGAAGTGACAACAGAAGTAATGTCGGTCTGAGTACCCGCACGGGGGGAGAAACCCAAATAAAGCTTGAGAGTTTAAGAAAAATAGAAGAAAACTACAAAAATCTGCTGAAAAAATACAAAGAAAAAGATGAAGCAATGAAAAAAGAAAATTTCAGCCAAAATGATTTGAAAAATATCATTACTGAAATTTTGAACAAAAATGTTTTTAAGAACATGCAAAACTCGAAAAGGAATAAAAAAAAAAAAAAAAAAAAAAAAGATATATATATTAACGATACTGGAGAGAACTTATCACCTGTGGAAGTTTACGAAATAGAGGAAGAGAAATTACAGGAAGTTTTAAAAAAAAAGAGATATGGTAATGGCACACTGGACCCAGAGAAAGTCAAAAGTTTAATTAAAAATATGAACAAATTACTTGATTCTTATCAAACCGGGGTAAATATTCATTTGAAGCAGATCAGAGAAGGTGATAACCATGTGTGTGTATCGAATCCTCAAATTGACAGCAATAATAATGGCATGAACATTGATAAGGTAGGTGAGGTAGAAAAGGGAGTCAAAGTGCATGAGACTGATTCTGGTACTAGTGACATGCAGAATCATAAGGCTGTTGAAAAAGTAGAAACGGAACACGTTGATCAGGTGGTTGACCTCTCGGATGTGTCTCTCTCCAATTTGAAAAAGTACGTGTCCCATTGGAAGGAGCTAAAAGTCGCCAATGCAAGTTATCGAGAAGAGATCAACAGTGCGAAAGGTGCTGAAAATGTGAAAAAAGAGATAAATGTGGCTGACCCAGTGAGTGGGATAAATGTGACGGACCCAATGAGTGGGATAAATGGCACCGATCCAGTGAATGAGACAAATGTGACAGACGAGATGACAAGGAGAAAAAAACCAACAAATGAAAATCCCACTATGAACAAAGTGAACGCAGTGCTCGGGGAAGAAAAGTATGAAGACGTGCTCAAGTATTTTGACGTTACACAAAAGCAAGATTCAATTATGTTCGAAATTAATGACACTATTTTAGAAAACGAGATTGCACGTATAAATAGACAAAAATTTGCACAACAGCCGATTTTAGATATACCTAACAAATTTGGGTTCACACAGAGGACCCCATCCGAGATGTTCACATCAGATGAGGGAAACCAGTTTCACGATATAATAGATCAAGAGTTGGCTCAATTGGATGAACAAAATGAAGCGGCTGATGGTGTAGAGGTTGAAGGTGAAGAGGTTGAAGGTGTAGAGGTTGAAGGTGAAGAGGTTGAAGGTGAAGAGGTTGAAGGTGAAGAAGTTGAAGGTGAAGAGGTTGAAGGTGAAGAAGTTGAAGGTGAAGAGGTTGAAGGTGAAGAGGTTGATAGTGTAGAGGTTGAAGGTGAAGAGGTTGAAGGTGAAGAGGTTGATAGTGTAGAGGTTGAAGGTGAAGAGGTTGATGGTGAAGAGGTTGATGGTGAAGAGGTTGAGAGTGAAGAGGTTGAAGGCGAATTGGCTGAGAATGAGCCGGCTGAGGATGAATCGACTGAGGGCGAATCGGCTAACGATGAAGTTGCAAAAGATGAGGGAGAGATTTCGAAGTGGAGGAAGAAAACCAAAATTAACAAAAACAAAGGTGGTGAGGTGGAGAAGCTGAAAATTTACATGGAACACATGGAGAGCAAAAAAATGGGAAAGTACAACTTAGAAAATATTTACGCAAAAAATTTTGAAGAAAAAATGGAACTCCTGATGATAATACTGAAGAATGAAAAGGATAATAAAAAAAAAATTATCGTATGTTCAGACGAAGAGGAGAGAAACATGATACAGATGAAATGCAAGTTGGAAGGTGTTGAATATGAGAAAATCTTAAGTTATATAAAAAATATAAAGCGATACTTGGAGAAAGAACCAAATTGGAAAGGTGCGACTTTCATTTTCATGAGTGAACTAAATAGCACATTAGAGTTGAGAAAAATATGCAGTGGGTTATCACAACAGTTGGGAGGTACGACCAATGCAGGTAGTAACCGTGGTAGCAGTTTTGATGATCAGACCAATCGCAGAAACAACATCCCTTCAGGTACTTCTCAGGTAAGGGAAATTTATGAGAAAAAATATTCCTGCACTGATGACGACGTAAGCATCTACCACTTTTGTGAACACTCCCCGAAAGCAGTGGCTTTGAAAAAGTTGTTCTACTCTATTGTTAACGAGGAAGATAACTTTTTAATTTACATGAAGAATAAGAAGTGTGCGAGTGAAAGAACTAGTGGAATAATGACTAATGGGGGAAAGGATAATAATGGGTGTAAAAAATATAGTAGGAATGTTTTGTCACCATACCATAAGAGGAGGAGTGGTCGTAATAAGAAGCTTTCAAAGAGTGAAGAGAAATGGTTATCATTCAGGAGAAGGACCCTGAAAAAAATCGATGAGATGAAGCAAAAGGCACATCTAATTAAGATGCGCAAAATGAAAAAACGAGATGAAAAGGTCAAGAGGACCATTGCCAAGTTAAAGTCAAAGGTGGGTTCGAAGTCAAAATCGAAGTCGAAGTCGAAGTCAGGTTAGATGTCAAAGGCGGGTTCGAAGTCAAAATCGAAGTCGAAGTCAGGTTAGATGTCAAAGGCGGGTTCGAAGTCAAAATCGAAGTCGAAGTCGAAGTCAGGTTAGATGTCAAAGGCGGGTTCGAAGTCAAAATTGAAGTCGAAGCTGCATACGTAAAAAGAGGAAAACCAAAAAGTGAAACAAAGTAGAGACAACACGAATCCAAACACATACAGCCAAAATGTAGGAAATGGGATCAAAGCAAATGATAAACCACTAGATAGATGCTCCAAAACATACTACACTACTTCTCGGATTCAAAAATATGTACATAAATAATACCTGTACTTAAAAAAAAGTAGATGTGCCAATGAAAAATGGAAAAAAAAAAAAAAATAAATAAAATGAAAACAAATAAAACGGATAGTAAACTAAAGTAAACGTTTTTTTCCGCCCCAATCAAATATTTTGTTGCATCTTCTGTATAATCTCCTTAAACAGATTTTCAGCTACTAACTCTATAAAAAGAACGAAATAAAATATACACAATCGCTTTTATTACATGTGTAAATGTCATGCATGTGCAGATTATCCAAGGGTATGAATTGCTTTAGGTTTACCCCCTCCTCACCACTTCGGCCCCCATATACACCACATTTTTTCTTTCATTTTTTCGTTCATTTTTTTTTTTTCATTTTTTCGTTCATTTTTTCGTTCATTTTTTGGCTCATTTTTTCTTTCATTTTTTGGCTCATTTTTTCTTTCATTTTTTGGCTCATTTTTTCTTTCATTTTTTGGCTCATTATTTCTTTTCTTTCTTTTTTTTTCAGAGTTTCCAAAAGGATACTCATCAGTTGGTTCTTCTCCATAATGAGCTTCATTTGTCTCTTTTTATATTATATTCTTTTCCATTTTAATTTTTCATTGTCTTAACTTCTTTACATATGACGCTGCAATATTTTTTTTTTTTTTTTTTTTTTTTTGGGACTAACCTTCATTTTTCCTTTTAACCAAAGTTCTATTTTGCAAACAGTCGTAAACTTCAAAAGAAAAATCGTCTGTGCATTTTTCTCTTATGGTAATTCCTGAAAAGTTTATAAATGGGGAATGTGGATGAAAAATATTCAGTTCATAACATATGATTACATATCTCTATATTTTATCGATGTTAAATACATGTTATATTCTGAAAATGATGCACAAAAAAAAAAAAAAAAAAAGAAAACCAAGACTGGGGTGTGTTACATATGTGTAGTTAAGCTATACCTCTAAGACTGAACAAAATGATATCTTTCAGTTTGATGAAAATGGGTGCATACCGATAATCATATATAATTTCAATGTCTCTATTAAACATGTAACTATGATTTTTTTGTATCTTACTGTATCTACCAATTTTTTTCATTTTGAAATAAGGGTACTTTAGGATTCTATGTTTATGAATCATATCATTTTCGCTAACATTTCGAATTTTCTTTATCCTCGTCCCGTCTCTGCGTGTGGGTGTGAGAGGCACGTTCATATGGTTGCTTCATCAAGTGGGGGTTCACCAAGTGGAGGGTTCACCAAGTGGAGGGTTCACCAAGTGAGGATTTCACCAAGTGAGGATTTCACCAAGTGAAGGGATCATCACATGGTAGATGCTTTACGTGACAACATCACCATGTACTTATCAATCCATTATATCGCAAGCCACAGGTGTGTCATCGTGCAGTTGGAGAAAAGAAGGAATTTCCCCTAAATTTCCCTCCAATTTTTAACTCTCGTGGTTTATGAGAATGGCACATTTTCACTTACATTTTCGGGTTCATAAATTGCTTCCATTCCTTAGCGCTCTTAAAGTGAATCATGCGCAGACAAGCCTTGAAGAATCTTCCTTTCTCCATCATCATTTCTTCAAAAGTTGCAACGGGAGTATGCTTTCTGGATATATACTACCTCTTTCTTGAGAGGTGCTCAAAGTGTAAGGAAAAAAAAAAAAAAAAAAAAAAAAAAAACATTTGTTAATTTTTTCCAATTTGTTCAATCTTTCCAATTTGTTCAATCTTTCCAATTTGTTCAATCTTTCCAGTTTGTTCAATTTTTCCAATCTTTTCAATCTTTCCAATCTTTTCAATCTTTTCAATCTTTCCAATCTTTTCAACATTTTGAGCATTTTGAGCATTACCACTGCGTGGGATAGGATTGTGGATTGTAACGTGTAGAAGCAGGACCAGATTTTTTTTTGAAATGCGAGAGTCGGATCCGACAAAATTACTAAATGAGGTGCTTAATATAGCTAATTGTGCGCCTATCTTGGGATGTTTCAGGAAATTCAAAAGGGCAATCAAAAAAAAGCTTTCTTGTGGATAAGCAATCAATATATATATATATATATATATATATATGTATATATATATATTTACCGTTTATCCAAAAGAACCTTTAAGGGAAAAAAAAAAAAAAAAAAATTGAACAGTAAGCGTTCGACTTTCCAGGTTTAGTAACAAATGCTAGACTATCGAATTTTCCGAAGGTGATCTCACCAAAATGCACAACCCTGGAGAGTCCTTGAAGCAGGTGAAGTGGTGAAGGCAGAGGAACACAAACGAGGGAGAGAGAAGTAATGTTCAACTACTTCCTAAAGGGATTCAACAAGTGTCATAGTAGGACTGATGTGGTGCACCTAAGCAAACAATTTGTAAAGAACATTTACCACTTTGACACGTATGAAATATCTCTATGCTTAAACAAGTTCTCCAAGGCAAATTTTCAGGATAAAGAATTTTGGAATAATGTCTGTCGTGCAATCACGACAACTGATGACAAGGTGATTGCCAAGTTTAAGATTCGAAAGAAGTTCAGCAAGGTTAGTCAAGTTGGAGAAAGAGGAGGTGAAATAATTCCTACTAATGCATGGCAAAATGATGTAACCGATACGTATGAAAAACAGAGTGAGGAAAAGAAGTGCACTCAGAGAGCACTACAAAATTGGGAAAGTAGAAACGATTCAAATGATAATCTGTCAAACAATAATACACACCCTGTTGATGATGACAGGAAAGACAAATTACTTTACCACTTCAACATGGAGGAGTTATGCTTAGTTGTAAATGCATTGGCAAAGGTGAATGTGAGGAATGATGAAATATTGAAACTTGCATCGCAGAAAATAATTACTGAGTTTGATTTGAATACGCACATGGTAAACATGATCAAGGCTATTAGCAGGTTTGCAGGAGTTGGACGTGTTGGCAGATTATCGAGGGATGAGCTGGGCCAAAGCCAAGAACCAAATCTGTTTCCACTGGAAGAAGCACTGGAAAAAGTGTACCAAAATTACAACCATGTGAAGAAAAACCTCACAGAGAGAGATATTTGCATTTTGATTCATCTAATGTTAACTAAAGAAATTGAAACAACCCGGGAAGAAGCGAATGAAGAAAGTAGTACTAATAAGAATGATCTCCAAGATGGACAAGTGAAAGAAAGAAAAAAAAAAAAAAAACTGAACGAAATGGCTTATAAAATAAGAGGAAAACTAATAAACAGCATAAAAAAAATAAACCATATAAGTGAACAAAGCATAGCATTAATTTTAAACGCTTGTAGTAAATCTTGTACAAAAAATAAAAATCTTTTAGATATACTTAAGATTATTATAATTTTAAAATTAAAAGAGGAAAAGAATACATGTTCGGACATATTCGTCAGCAGTATCACACATTCCTATTCTTCTTTCTACTATAGAGATAAAATTCTATATGATACTATATCTGAACATGTATGTATGAACATTGATAAAATAAGCGTCAAGGCACTTATAATAATTCTTAACAGTTTTGTTAATGTGGACATTCTGAATATAAAAATGTTTAATGCTTCCTTCAACAGATTAGCAAAGAGGGAAGTCATAAATTCTTTATCTAATCAGTGCACTTCAAATTTAATCACCATTATTACAAAGTGTTACAGTTATTTGAACACAGAAAAGACACACTTTATTTTGTCTCTCGTGAAGAGGCGCATCAGACGAGATTTTGCCAGGGCAACACAAGGTCCGAGGGGCATGGCACCGATCAGTCTATTACAAAGTGGGAGATTCATAGAGGATCGAGACAAAAATGACGGGATCAGAGGAGATCTAGCCAAAGATGACGGGTTCAGAGGAGATTTAGCCAAAGATGATGGGATCAGAGGAGATCTAGCCAAAGATGACGGGTTCAGAGGAGATCTAGCCAAAGATGACAGGTTCAGAGGATATCTAGCCAAAGATGACAGGTTCAGAGGAAATTGGGCCAAACCCGAACGATTTAACGAACCTGTCTGCCAAACCAAACAAGCAAAAGGGAACGTCTTCATCGAGGGGTTCCTCACACAGCACTTGACCAACATAATAAACAACTTAAGCAAGTTAAACCAAGCAGATATGAACATGTTCAAAATATTTTCTCATCTTATTTTAAAAAAAAAAAAAGAAATTAATAAATTGGATTTGATGAACATTACAAGTGCATATGCAAGATCTGGCTATGTCGACATGGAAATGTACGAACTCATCAAACATTATGCACGAAAGTATTTGAAGAATGAAAACTTGAAGTATGTGGAATTTATAAATTTGTTTACTAGCATGGGGACATTTTCTTTAATTGAAAAGAATTACAAATGGAGCAGCCCCATGGAAGGTTCAACATGCAAATTTCAAGACATCATTTGTATCATGATGAATCGATTAAAGGGTGATACTACTAGTACGGCTCAAGTTCATGGGGTCAACTGGGTTTATCACCAACGTGGAGATAATAACAGCTCTCGTCCGCTTGGTGAAAGTTCTTCGATTAGATCAGTCATTGTTACAGGGTGCAAAAAAATGTCTTCAAAATTGCCACAAAAGGAGGAGGTGCAAAATGAACGCAACGACACACACAGGAGTAGTAGCAACTACTATGCGTGCATCAATGAGAGGAAAAACATCATTGAGAATTTGAACATAAAGCATACATGCTGCATCCTCTCTACGATGAGTAAGCTGAACACACACGACAAACAAATTTATGAAGAGTGCATAAAAAATTTAAAAAAGAAAATATTTAAAATGGACTCGAGATGTTTGACAATGTATTTATTGTACGTAAGCAAGTTTAATATCACCCCCGATCGTTACATCAGGGACCTCATATCCAAGTGTTTCAAGTTCATGCATTTCCAAAATGGAAACGTGGAATTGACAACAATACAAGGTGATAAGAACGGATTCCTGAATAAGATGAAGAATCTGCATGCTCAATTACAAACAGAAGACATTGTAAATGCAGTGTATATCATTAGGAGCCTCATAAAGAATAACATCGATTATAGAAGCAGTATGTACATCATATATGCATACTTGCAGCTTATATACAGAGTTGTCATATCCAAAAGTAGGTGCAAAAATAAACAGAATAGATGTAGGGAAGACCAAAACATTATAAAACTTGGAGAATCACAACATGAGGAGCCCATCATTACCACGTTAATAAAAAACCGCAAGTTAAACACACAAACGGCTTGCATCTTAATGAACTCACTAGCCTTCTTAAATACACATATCTATTTTCAAAATGAGGAATATTCAAAGATGCTTTCATGGCTTCTACTATTCTCATTTAAGTTCATGTTTGACAAACTGGATATAAGACAAGAATCATTGGATAAGTTACTTTACCCAGACATAAGTCAGAAAAAAGAGGAAAAAATTAACGAAATAAAAAATATAATAAAAAAAAAAATAGACTCAGCAAGTATTCGTCAGTTAAACATGACCATTTTGATGTCATTCCACTTTTATTCATTCAACATCTTTTTCAATTCACCCAAATGGAAAATGACTAGTAATTTAGCTAGTTACCCACTAAACCTGTTAAAATATTTCTACTTTTTTTTAAAATATACTCCCTTTACACATTTTGAGAAATATTCGTCAATATACAATTTGATGAATAATACTAAAAAATTCATAAATTATTTCGATGACGTCTCTTCTAAGATAGATTCCATTACTCCATATATGTGCCATAAGAATAACAACAATAACACTGCACTATTAACCTGCAGTACAGAACCATTCCCCACAATCTCAAAAGGTGAAATGAGCATATACCGTACTGTCAGGCAAGTTCTCAAGAAAAACAATTGTCAAGACAGGTACATTGTTTTATCCACATTAACACTTTACATGTATTCTGTCGATCTCCTCATTGTACAAAAGTGTCAAGAGACCAACCTTCCTTCGCGAAACCATCACGCCGAGGAAGAAGTGGACGACAAGAAGGAGAAAAAAAAGGAATGCATAAAACTATGTAGATGACCATACATCCTTATCCTGAGGTGCTTCCAAATTGTTTTTGTGTTTACAATACTTTTCAAACAGTTCTGTTTTCATTTGGGCCCTTTAGCTCTATTCCTCGCATTTAATGGGTTTCATTATATCTGCACATGCATATATGAACACGTGGATGTATGAACTCTTGAAAAGGCATCAGAATATGCATATATGTGTGTATTTTTGTATGTATGCATATATTTCATTTTTTAATATTTGCAATTTCACGCCTCATTTAAGCTTTATTTGTTATACTTCCCTTGCGCGACCACCATCACCCCCACGCCTTGAGTTGGCCTTTACGAAACTTCCTGCATACCCAACTGGAAGCGAACTTAAAACTATTCCATTTCTATGTACTCGTCAAAAAACAGTTAAAAACAGTCAAACAAAAATGAAGGAAAAATGAAGGAAAAATGAAGGAAAATTTTTCAAAGTGCAAAAAAAGATGATATAAAAAAAAAAAAAAAAAAAAAAAAAAAATTCCAAAGTGGTGCTGGTATGTTTCTACTCATTAGAGTTTGTTAAACCAGATTATCGGATCATTCGACAAATTTTAAAGGACACGTATTTGAACCCCCAGAGTAAGTGGCTTACCTTTTGTCATTTTTTTTTTTTTTTTTTTTTCTCCTCCCAACTGGATGCAGGGTAGGAGAAGGAGTACATTTTTAAGAGAAGTGGCTACTTCTCTTATTTAATTTGACTGTGCGGATGAGTGATGGAAAAACATAAATATTTGTTTATTATTTTATTATTTTATTTTTATTTATTTATTTATTTATTTTTCCCTATCGCAGAAAGGGGGGACGAGAATATGTGAACCCATGTATGAGTCCACTCATAAGGTGAACCCAATTTTTTTTTCCTGATCTTCACATCTTTCCCTCAGTAGGACTCACAAAAAATGAGAAAGGAGGGAGGGGAGCAAACGGAGCAAACGGAGCAAACGGAGCAGACGGAGCAGACGGAGCAGAAGGAGCAGATGGAGCAAACGGAGCAGACGGAGCAAAGGATCAAAGGTGTACAAGTAAATGTACATGGTTTGAGGAGGATCAAAAGGACGAATGTGAATTTCCTGTTTGATGACATAAAAAAAAGTAAAAATGTTGAAGAACTGTTTTGGGAAATATCCAGATGTAATAATAAAATACAGAGTCTAAACATCTTTGAAGGAGAACCAGTGATAAAATTAAGGAGAACGACAGAGACAGATGTAGAAGTGAATTACATTATAAAAGAGCGAAATAACAATTATGTTATAGGGACAAATGTAAATAACCGTGGAGAAGTAACAGGAGATTTTGAGGTGCACATGCCATATATCTTCAAATCAATAAACAGTATTGAATTCAAATCGAACATAAGTAGTTTATATACAAACAATTTTGCAATTCGTTTCTTAATTCCACAAATAAGTAAGAAAATAAATTTTAATTTAATTCTTGAAGCTAATCTAAGTAATATAAATAACACACAACATGCTTCTTATATGATAAAAACTAACTCATTTAAAACCATTCTTGTAAATCAAAATCATACACTTATTTGGGATATAAGTTATAATACCATTTTTCATAAAATATGCAAAAATTTTATTCCATCTGATTTTGTGTTGAAAATTCCTGGAAATTATATCAAACATAGTCTTCGTCATGTGTACAAGAACAACCAGTTGCGTTACGACCTACCTGCTCTGGAAAAGTGCACAAATGAGAGTGTCCACTTGAAGGTCGGAACCAACGGAGGTACAAAGGGCAACATCAAAGGGGACTCAAACCCAGATGATCAAGGGGGCTGGCATGGGAATCCTGGACAAACACACACCAATTACCCCACCTCTGGATACTTCTACCAAGTGGAAAATGAAATTTCGCTTCCCTTTTGTGAATGTAATTTTTTTAGAAATCATTTTCATTATTTGTTTGTAAAACGGTTAAGCAATAAAATGTTCACATATATGATGTTTACAAATGGTATAAAGCATGACTTTAATAAGGCCAACCCATACCACTTGGGAGCTTTTCATTTTAGTGGGAGCATTGGTAGTTCATTAACCTTCAGAGGGTTTGAACATAACAGCATTGGGAATACAGATGTATGCTACAAGTTCAACAGAAAAAAAAGAGATTATGAAATTAATTATAATTATTTAGGGTCTAATTTTATCACAAGTTTTCAACTTGTATTTAAATACATTTTAAATTTTCAAAATATTAATCCTATTCTTTTTTTTTATGTACAATTGGGAAGATTAAGCAATCAGTTCTTTTCCTCTTTTAATCAATTAAAAAACGACACACGCGTGTCAGTTGGAATTGGATTCATGACATACATTCAGAGGAACGTGTCCCTTGAACTCTTTTTCAATTATCCGCTCCTCCATCAGCTCACTGACAGAACAAAGTATTTCCAGGTCGGTTTGAACTTCAAGGGCATGTTGTGAGGACCAAGAATAAAAATTAAAACCGTTAAATGGGTTAGAAGCGAGAAATGGGTTAGAATCGCTAATGTAAGAAAAAAGCCCAGGGGACAGAAGGCACAGCTTCACTATGTTTGGCATGTCAACACATTATAGCAGTATAACAAATTCTATTATTGTTTTTGTCGTTTCTCATAGAAGCTTACCCATTTCACAAAAAGATAAAGAGTATCATGCCATGTTTACTTCGACACTATTCATTTTTAATTCATTTTTTTTTTTTTTTTTTTTTTTTTTTTATTAACACTATATTTGGTTATTCATACATGTTTTTCCCCCTATGTCATCACCTCGATACACACGAATGACGAAATGAGGACTGTGCAAGAACCGAAGGGTCCAAGAAAATGCATACATTTCACACATGCATTCTGTCAAATAGATATATATGCTAAACAAATGTCTAAAAAGTTGTATGCACATAAAAAAAAAAAAAAAAATTAAGGTCAGTTGAAACATTCCAATAAATGCACATAAAAAAAAAAAAAATAAATAAAATACTTTAATTTTTGTAATTCGGGATAATATCCCATCCATGTATATAAATCCACTTTAATAGGAAATTTTTATAAATGATATTTCCTCTCATCTAATCTATTTAACTCTGTTCCTTTTGGTACAAATGTTTGTTCTGTAGAATGGGGTGCAAAAAAGTGTTATAAAAAAAAAAAAAGCAGCAGAGGTAGTGGAAAAATGAATATTCCACATAAACATTGTCCAAGCAACATTACATCCATAAGGGGACATTACCTCTTCATAATATTTGTTTGTTTCGTAGAGGGTCTGAGTAATTGGGATAACAGTCATTAGGATGATGATTCCATAAAAATATCTCATTATTGGTATTCTGATTGCTTTCGGCTGATTTTCTGTGTAATTTATTTCTTTGTTGGGGTTATTATGGTTCAGTTTTCGCATACCCATGTTTATGTTTCTTCTTCCAGTGATATTAAAATTATTATTTATGAGAAGAAAAGGGATGTTTCTTCCCCTAACCATTTCGCGTTTACTATAAAATAGGATCCTTAAAGAGTTCATTTTTTTTTTTTTTGTTCAGATAGTGGGTGTTAAATTGTAACTTGCTTTTTTATATATCATGAAATGCCGAGTGTGCGCAAAGTTGCTTAAGTTTTCAACAAATGGCCGAAGAGGGAAAATGTATACACAACTGTATACACAAGTGTATACATAAGCTTATATATCATGCATATATATCATGCATATATATCATGCATATATATCAAGCATATATATTACCTAAAATGCCTTTCAACCATTTTTATCCCTTTTGTGCGCCCTTTTTGTATTTTTTTTTTTCTTTTTTTTTTCATTTCCCACATTCGCAATTTCCTCCTGAACAGTGATATATTTACTTGCACTCATTCCCACGAACATGTGAGGAATCGCTTCAAACTTGACCTTCATAAGGCTCAAGAGGTAGTGCACGTGATTTCTTTTTTGCATATTAAACCCAGTAGTAATGTACATAATATACTATTTTTTTTTTTTTTTTTTTATTTCTTATAATAATTCAAACTCATTATACTACAAGGTGTGCCCAAAATTTCCCCATGGTCATTCAGAACTTTTCTCTACCCTTACGGATTTAAGCCGTCCTTGTTTGCATTTTACGCCTTCCTTGTGTGCATTTTTTTTTTTTTTTTTTTTTTTTTTTGCTTCAACAATTTGGTAACATTATTAAGTAAAAAGAAGAAAAGGGTGTGCCAAGTTACGTTTCAATCAAGTTACCACAAAATGACATTCACATGATGGAACCAATAAAATATTCATAAGGTTCATTGTGTGTTGAGAAGCAGAAAGTATATTTAGGAGTTATCTCTCAAGGGTATGTACTACTACAACATAATGGTAGGGGGAAAAAAAAAAAAAAAAAAAAAAAAAAGTACCTGGCGATGATACTCCCGAGAGAAGAAAGATCAAAAGTGTGAATATAAATATGTACATAAATATGTACATATTTATATTCCCAGATTGGGAAAAATTTATCGTTTTTCTTATTGACAAGTTTGCCTTTTCTTCACCAGTATTCGTTACAGAAAATGCTCATTTTGACATTCCTTCGATGTGTAAGTACGGTTTTCAAAAAAAAAAAAATAAATAAATAAAATAAAAATATAAAGTGTAAAATAGAGATAATAAAATATATGGGGTCAAAAATTACAGCAATGTAAAATCTGAAAACGATTAAATGGAGGAGAGGAAAAAATGGGAAAAAAAAAAAAAAAGACTGTTAAAAAAGATGGCTTTCACATTTATCCTTTTCCCTTTAAAAGGGGTGTGTTTAAAAAATATGTAACCATAATTTGTCATATCACTACACCTATGTAACGGTCCCTTTTTTTTTTTTTTTTATTATTCTATTTCTATGAGATAATCCTTAATCTCGTTTGGGGTTAAAATTTTGAAAGGTTTGTTGTTACACGCTACTCCAATTTCAATGTTCTTTTCATTCATAACCCCTTCATAACTTTCCTTCAAAGTCAAAATTGCTGTATGTATAGCATCTTCTACTTCGATATCAGTACTGTACCGTTTTTCCAAAAAGGAGATATTATTTTGATAATCTTTTCCTATACATGTAGCTAGCCAATTAAAATAACATCCTGATGGATCAATCTGATATAAGTGATAACCATATGCATCTATTCCACATATTAGTAAAGACAAACCAAATGGTCTTACTCCACCAGTTTGTGTAAACTCCTGTACTATAGATGCTATTTCTTTCACCAATTCTTTTACTAATATTTCATTTCCATACTGCAAGGAATATCGAGCTGCTTCTTTTCTAGCACGCTTCAATAATACACGAAAGTCTCCAGGCATTCCTGCATATACAATTCCAATATGTTCACTAATCTGCTGAATTTTGTATATACTATTTTCTTCTATAAGATCATTTGGACTCTTTTTCTCCGTTGCAATTATTACTCCATTCTTTGCTCGGATGCCTTCAAAAAAAAAAAAAAAAAAAAAAAAAGGGGGAAAAGGGGTGCGTTCTTGTTGTCACAAGTATCATATATATGAATCGACGTGAATCGATCTGGCTGAATAAACTTATTTACGATTCCGCATGCACGTGTGCATATAATATATACTCATTAAACCATGTGCAACGAGCAAAATTTAGTAGCTAAAAGGGCACGAGCGTTACGACGTTCATATAAAAACAGACGGAGAAGGGGTCAAACAAAAAAGGTAATGGCATAATGATATGAACATAACGACGTGGCAAACAATACAAGGGATTACATACACAATATATGTTCCTTTCAAAATGTATTCTTACCCAAGGCAGGGGAACTACTTGAAACTCTATTCAGAGCATATTCAATTTGAACTAACTTCCCCGTGGGACTAAATGTTGTTAAGGAGAAACTATATTCACCATCAGCCATTTTTTTCCTTTTTGTAAAAAAAATTAAAAAAAAAAAAAAAAAAAATATAAGGTGGTGTATATAATACACTACACACTCGTATCACTTTGTAATTATTGTATATATTTCTTTGGAGGGAGCGTGCACGTATGGTTTTCAAAATGTACATGAGATCACGAAAATATACTCACGTGTATCATACATGTAGTGTAATAAATGTGGTATAATACAGCCCTGTGAAATTTTTGTGCATATATGTGTAAATATACATATATATTACATGCATACATATATGCATATATTATGTTACGCATAATATGGTATTTAAAGTATGTTTTATTGATAAGCTTTAATTGTACTAATGTGTATAATCAGGGAATTCTTTGGTTTCCCCATGTTTTCTATTTTTTTTTTTTTTTCTTATTCCCTCAACAGTTCATTCAAACAGTCGTTTATAGATTCGTCCCATTCATCCTTCCTTCCTGCTTTCATATTAATCTTCCCCTCATTTTTCTTTTTTTTTTTCTTTTTTTTTTTTTTTTTTGTTTTTTTAAATTGATACATATACCTATTAGGGGCCAAAATTGACGTGCCCGGTGCGCCCAAAAATATCACACGACACACAACAAACAAAAAATGGGAAAGAAAAAATTTATGTTAAAATTTAATCAATTGTAATCCCTAAAGCTAAGGAAAATATCAGAAGTGGGTTGATTGAGCAACCAAATTATATTTGTCACGCTCTGGTATTTAAAATGTGCTTCATTTTTTCAGTAAAAGAGAGAAGGGGTACCACAAGAATGTTATTTATATATAAATTATGTAAAAGCATACATATATAAATATACACTTGCGTGGTCTGACATAGATCTCTGTACAGCACAACTGATAATGAAAACAGTCAGGGTTAAGTCTATACAATATATATTTTTTTCTTCTTTTCCTTTTTTTTTTTTTTGACCTGAGAACAAATTTCGAGCCCAACTTGCAATAAACTGTTTTCCCATTTCTTACCCAATTTTTAATCAACCAGTTCAAGTAATTTTTTAAATTAGTGGGATATTAATCTTGTCCCTTTTTAAAAACTACAATTAGCCGATCAATTTAAGAAGCCATTATTATTAATACCGTGATAGTGACAAAAATGAACATAGCACTTTTAGTAGTTATATATGTATATTCCTTTCGAGCAATTTTGTAATGGAGGAGGGTATCCCAGCGTTGACAAAAAAAAAAAAAAAAGCAACAAAACAAAACAAAACAAAGTAATAAAATAACAGTAAAGTGACATATGAAAACGGGTTAGATTTGCACATGGCTACATTTGAGATACATTATTTAGAGATAATGGGAAATTTTGTTTTTTTTTTCCTTGTTTTGTCTTTTTTTTTTTTTTTTTTTCCGCTTTTTAAACGAATCGATGATCATTTTGGTGTTACCCTTATTACGATTGTGCCATAGAATACTGCACAAAAAATAATCACCTTTTTCTCCTTAACCCATAAAGGGAACAAGTAAGAGCCCCTAATTATCCCGTATTTAATTATTCCCCCAAGCTTTGTCAAAATGTATTTTTATAGCTAAAAAAAAAAAATTCTGTATAAATATTGGCACTGCCCATGGGACTATAATAATATATTTGCTTTAGTTCTTCATTAAAAAAAAAAAAAGAAAAAAAGAATTTTTAAAGCATACCTATAGTAAACGTAAACGAGGATAAGTTCGTGAAACTGTCTAGTAATATGTTCCTTTGCCTATAGTAAAGTTTTGTAGAAATATGTTTGAGATTTTTTCCTTTGACGTGACCTCGCTAGTGCTTTGGAATGTTGAAAAACTTTTTTGCTAGACCACTTTGAGTAGGTACAAAAAAAAAAAAAAAAAAAAAAAAAAAAAACAGAAAAAGTAAAAATAAAAATAGAAGCAAAAATAAAAGCAAAAGCAAAAAGGGAAACAAATTTCCTCTTGAAGGTTTTTTATTTAATTTTTTTTTTATTTTCAACATTGTATATTTATTATTATTACATATTAGCCTTTTCACGTTTAAATTTCTGCGATTCTCGAATTCTCTTTCTTATAACCAATGTACCTGCTCTCTACGGGGAAGTATTTCCTTTCCACGATCACAGCACTCATTTATATTTTGCCTATTTCAACTGTGAATGCATTAATGCAATATATTCTCCTGTCTCTTTCAAAATATGGAGAAATTTAGCAACTTAAGCACATCAGGTATATGTCCTTTTTCCATGCACACAAATATATTCATTGTTATGGTGGAGATTTACGATGACAAAAAATTAGACGAATTTTTCTCCACATGAACGCGTCAGCTCAACTGGCAAACGTTTTATGTCCATTCAGATTTTTACATAAACTGTTCATGCAAAATAGATGATAATATAAAAAATTAAAAAAAAAAAAAAAACAAAAAAAAAAACAAAAAAAAAAAAGCTAGCTCGTTCAGGCAAAATTGATATGTGATCATGTATACAAATAAAAAAGTATCCTTCTTTACACGTATTCATATATATTTTGAGGAACGACCTTCCTCCTCCCTCCAGCCCTGCATTTTCTTTCTACTCATTTGTCTGTTTGGTTTTACCTCATCTTTAGTTGACGAAAACGGGGAGCATCCCATCGAAAATAGATTGAATGAAAAGGAAAATAATGCAAAAAAAGAGATAATGTGCGATACAGAAAAGGGGGTAAAAAATGAAGCTGCAAAAAAGGCCACAAGCAAAGTAGATACGGCCGACATAAGCAATGTAGTACAGAAAACTGTGAAAGATGTTAAAAAGGATGTTATGCGGGACATTTTAAGTGCTACAGAAAAGGTTTCGGAACATTATGTTGTAAATGATAATGCAATAGACGGATGCAACATGCACGAGTTCTCTCTGAGCACTGATTTGAAGAATGATGATGTCTGTAATAATGATGGTGTATGTAGTACTTCTGGTGTGTGTAATAATTCTGGTGTGTGTAATAATTCTGGTGTGTGTAATAATGCTGGTGCGTGTAATAATGATGGTGTATGTAATAATGATGGTGTATGTAGTACTTCTGGTGTGTGTAATAATTCTGGTGTGTGTAATAATGCTGGTGTGTGTAATAATGATGGTGTATGTAATAATGCCGGTGTGTGTAATAATGATGGTGTATGTAATAATGCCGATGTGTGTAATAATGATGGTGTATGTAATAATGCTGGTGTATGCAATAATGATGATGTATGCAATAATAATAGTGTGCGTAATAATGATGATGTATGCAATAATAATAGTGTGCGTAATAATGATGATGTATGCCAAAATGAGGAATACCTACACCATGATCATCCATGGCACGAAGAACCAGATGAAACAAAAAGTTACATGCAGAACACTAAGGAAAACTCGCTCATTGACGACACATATAAAAAAGAAAATGATAGTTATGACATTTTAAGGGAATGCCTTCAGCATAATAAAGAATTACATAAAAAAAAAATTGACATAAATAATGCCCTAGATAATGGAGAGAATAAAAATGACCATATTAGTAATCACTGTTCCGAAAAATTGGATGGTATAAAATTTAATAAGAATCCATACGAAAATTTCGTGACACAAACATTAAAACAGAAAAATAAGAATTTATTTGAAGGAAAATAATAAGAACCTTTCTTCATTTCCTTTTTTTTTTTTTTTTTTTTTTCTTAACAGATATCCCTATACCTGGAAAAGAAAAAGAAAATAGCACCCTGTATCATTTCAACCCTGAAAAATTGGGTTACATATATAACAATGGTTTGAAGCCTACAGAGGGGTATGTGCTCATCTACCCGAATATATCGAAAATGTCTGTTCCACCAAAAATTAGAAAAAAAAAGCTAAGATGTTGTTAGTGTGTAAGTCGACGTTGGGACACAATCATTGCAGAAGTGATGGTGGTTAAAAAAAGAAATGCGATACTCCCCCCTCCACCCTAATGTTAATGTACAATTCTCATGTTGTTAAAACCTGGGTTGGGAATTTTTGTATTCCTCTCCTCCATGGAGAAAAGAAATCATCTGGAGTGCGCACATGTGTTCACTTACACTTTTTCTTACTCACATCTTTGCACCTTCTCACCTTTGCACCTTCTCACCTTTGCACCTTCTCACCTTTGCATCTTCCCACCTTTGCATCTTCCCACCTTTGCATCTTCCCACCTTTGCATCTTCCCACCTTTGCATCTTCCCACCTTTGCATCTTCCCACCTTTGCATTTGCTCATTTATATCTACCCCTGCGTACCATTCGAATAATCTGCCTTTTCTCTAAAAGGTTCAAACGAACAGTACGATTTTCCTCCTCTTCTTCACAAGTTAGAACTGTTATGAAATGTACCCCCTGCTTTTTTAAAATGTATGTATTACGCAGCCACCACACATTTTATTTGTGCGCACTCAATGGGTGAAATGGGTTACTTGTTCGTGTGCCTGCTTGTTCGTGTACTTATTTTATTATTTTTTTTTATTTTTTTTTTTTTCCTTTCCCCGGGTTTAAACAACATTTCACCTTTTCCTAACATTTAGCGTTTTCCTAATTTTCTGAATTTTCCTTTCACCACTCCTGCACACCGAAACTGCAATTCGCATGGCAGACGGAAAATACTCCTTGTCAATTTTAGCTGAACTTAATTGATGTATTTTTTTTTATTTTGTAGAAAATTTGCGTCAGTGAGCGTGATGTATGTAACAAACACAAAAAAATGGACAAAAAAATGGACAAAAAAATGGACAAAAAAATGGACAAAAAAATGGACAAAAAAATGGACAAAAAAATGGACAAAAAAATGGACAAAAAAATGGACAAAAAAACGGACAAAAAAATGGACAAAAAAGCGAACAAAAAAAACAAACAAGACGAGCCAACAAAACGGATGTCTCACCTTGGTATATATTAACCACACACAGGGAGACAAGAACACTGATTGAATGATGCGTTTCTCCTGTCATTTTGTTTAATTTGAAAAACATATGGATGTCTATCAATTTATCACATCCCACCTATGACTTCGTACTAACCATATTATTCAATGGGTTAAAAAATAAAATAAAAAATGGAATGACTTGTCAAAAGGTGCTTACTTGAAAATACGCTGTTTTTTTTTTTTTTTTTTTTTTTGCTCTCATACTTGGTTAGAGAATTTCCAACGAAAGAACCACAAGTGAAATGTGTTACTAATTAATTCGATAATAGTGGTAAGCTAAAGATGTACATGCAAAAAAAAAAAAAAAAAAAAAAAAAAAATATGTACCATAGGGTGTAATGCAAATGTGTTTATATGTTATATTCATGTGGCTTATTTAAATTGTTGGAACATGGTGAAACGTAGTTCATTTTATTTATATTCGCCTGAATTGGTTTTTCACCACAATGTAATTAAAAAAGGTTAGAGAGTTATATTAAACAGATAGCGAATAACTTAATAATCTGTGTGTTAAATCCCCTTTTATTACGCTTTATTAAGAATGATAATGCATAAAAACCAAGCTGGAGGATGTATGGTAACCATAGGTCCAGAGATCTCAACACAGATAAAAAAACAGTGGGAACACATCAGTATTCGATTAAGCATTAACTAGTTATCCAATAATTACCAATTTTTGTTATCAATTTTTGAAGGCGGAAATACTTCACATGGTGAAGCTGCCCATAGGGAGGAATATAAAATGGAACGACGAATGGAACGACGAATGGAACGAAGAATGGAACGACGAATGGAACGACGAATGGAACGAAGAATGGAACGAAGAATGGAACGAAGAATGGAACGAAGAATGGAACGAAGAATGGAACGAAGAATGGAACGAAGAATGGAACGAAGAGTGGAATAAGAAAACCTGCTCGTGCGAACATACACTCTTAGCTGACGAAAGTGAAGGAAAATTCATTTTTGTTGTTTGGGACTTTGGAAAATGCCACCCTAGCGAATTTGTAATACTCTGGTTAAGATTAGTCAAACATTTTGGGTACATGCACCAAAAAAAAAAAAAAAAAAAAAAAAAAAAAAAAAAAAAACTTATGACCAATCGGGGTGATATTATATATTCCTCCGATTGGCTATTGTGTGCAAGGTACCGCGGAAGTATTATTCCCAATCCGTTCCATTTTGCATTTCTTTGGACCAACTTTTTTCCACCTGCATATACTTCGCTCCAATAAGAGCCACGCGGAAAGGGGCTGGCTGACCGTTGAACGAAGTGCAATTAACCAAAGACGAAGAAAAGGTGGAAAAATACGGCGGCAAAAATAAGGCGACAAAAATAAAGCAAAAAAATGTGAAGAGAAAACGCGATTCGAAATTTTGACGGAAGGATTAAAAAAATCCATCGAACACGTCGCAAAGATTTGTAGAAGATTTGCCAAACGTGTATCTTTTTAGTGAAGCACGAAAAAGCAAAAATAAAAAAAAAAGCAACAAAAATATTCTGTCATTGGAAAATTAACCAAAACCTTTGAATCTGGCAAAATAGCCCCATTTGTACCCTATTGAAAGCGTCAAATCGAAACAATAAAGAAAAAATAAAGCAGCATAGAAAAAACCAAAGTGCTATGTGTCATCGTTCCTTTTTATCCAACCCCACACTAAGAAGCTATAAATGTATATAACGAAAAAGCAGGAGTTTTTTCTATTTTTCTTTCGTTTTTGTTTGCCCTTTTTTTTTTTTTTTTCCTTTTTTTTATTCTTTTCTGTTGACAATTTGAAAAGGTAAGTCCAGTAGGAGGAAAAAACAAAAAAAAAAAAAAAAAAAAAAAAAAAAAAATGTGGCCGTATCCCAGTTGAGAATATCGAGGAGGGGGGGGAGGCTGCCTCTTATCGAATGCATTCAAGCCTGCCTGCGTACATACACGCACATAAATATATGCACACATATATATGCACACATATATATGCACACAAATGTATGCACACATATGTGCATGTGTTGGGTACGCGTACGATCTACCCTCTCCCATGGTGGTGCTTGCACAGTATCATGAGTCCCTGAACGTGTGTCTTCCATCAGAGCTGAAAGAAAGCATTAGCATGAACTCTCCCCCAGGAGTTCACTCCTAGCAACACTTACATAGGCACGAGGAACACCTTTGTAGAGTGACCCTTTACTCTTGAATACCTCTTAAACGATTTTCATTCTCGTCTTCATACACACCTTCTCATCCGCATAGATGTCAATCCAACTACTGAACAACAGGGCCGATAGCCTGCGGTCGACTAATGTGCTCTTGACTAACATCAATGCTAGCAAAGGAATGTATGAGATAATAAAAAGTAACTTGGGTCCGAAGGGAAGTTACAAAATGTTGGTTAGTAGTTCAGGTGCTATAAAAATAACAAAAGATGGGAATGTGTTGCTTAACGAAATGATGATTCAACATCCAACGGCTAGTATGTTAAGCAGAATATGTTCCAGTATCGATGAGAATTTGGGAGATGGATCAAGTAGTAACTTAATTGTTGCTACTTCTTTAATTTATTTATCAGAAAAGTATATTTTGTATGAAAACATTCATCCACGTATCATTACCCAAGGGTTTGATCAAGCCAAATCAATTTTGCTAGATGTATTAGAATCCATGAAAATACCAATAAATATAAAAGAAAAATTTGATAAAGAATTACTGTACAATGTTGCAAAGACATGTATAAGAACCAAATTACCAATTGTTTTAGCTGATAAACTAGCAGATGATTTAGTGGAATGTATAAAAATAATTTATAACCCAGGGAAACAAATAGATCTTCACATGGTAGAAATAGTGGATATTAAAAAAAATATGAGCATTAATACAAAACTTGTTAGAGGTATGGTACTAGATCATGGATGTAGACACCCGAACATGCCTAGTAAATTAACGAAATGCTTTACACTAGTATTAAATGTCAGTTTGGAATATGAAAAAAGTGAAGTCTTTTCATCTTTTGTTTATTCAAATGCTGAAGATAGAGACAAGTTAGTTCAATCTGAACGAAAGTTTACTGATGATAAAGTAAAGAAAATTATTGAATTAAAAAAAACACTAATAGAGAAAAAATTTAAAGAAACTAATGAAATTTACAATTTTGCCGTATTTAATCAAAAAGGAATTGATCCCATTAGTTTAGATTTACTAGCCAAAGAAAATATTATGGCTCTAAGAAGAATTAAAAGAAGAAATCTTGAACGAATTGTTTTATGTTGTGGTGGAAATGCATGTAATAATGTTTATGATTTAACTGAAGAAGATGTTGGTTATGCAGGACTTGTTTACGAATTGTGTATTAATGATGAAAAGTATACATTTATTGAAGATGTGATAAACCCTAAGAGTTGTTCTTTATATATCCAAGCACCCAATGATTATACAATTAAACAAATAAAAGATGCAATTAGGGATGGCTTAAGAAGTATAAAAAATGCAATTGAAGACGAATGTGTCATCTCAGGAGCAGGCTCCTTTGAAATCATGGCATACTGCAAATTAAAAGATGAAGAAAAAAAAATCAAAGGGAAACAAAAATTCTCCTTTGATATCTACGCCAATAGCTTGTTGAATATTCCAAAAATTTTACTAGAAAACAGTGGTCTCGATATACACGAAATTATATTTAATGTAATTGACAAGTACAACAAAAATCGCTCAGAGCCACTAGGAATTGATTTGGACACAGGGGAACCCATTATTGCACATTTGAAAGGTAACATAATATTTATGCAAAAGAAGCACACCCACAGTGGGGATGACACTCACAGTGGGGATGACATGCACAGTGGGATTATTGCACAAATATTTTCTTCTACTTTTGGACAGGAGAGAAAAAAAAAAAAAAAAAAAAAATTAAGTTTTGCTCAAACGAGCTTGCCAATTGACAAGCTTTCTTTCTCTAAAAAATTATTTTTTGCATCCTCACGCACTTTTTTTAGGAATATACGACAACTACTGCGTAAAGAAACAAATTCTTTCCATTGCCACGGCCATATCACAGCAAATTCTTCTTGTTGATGAGATCATACGGGCAGGAAAATCCATGGGTGAGGAGAAATAAAGAAATGAAGAAGTAAATAAATAAAAAAGAGCAAAAAAGGGCAAAAAAGAGCAAAAAAGGACAAAAAGGAGCAGAAAACGACAAAAAGGAGCAGAAAACGACAAAAAGGAGCAGAAAACGACAAAAAGGAGCAGAAAACGACAAAAAGGAGCAGAAAAGGACAAAAAGGTTTTTGTTTTTTTTCCCCATTCCCCAAAAAAAATTGTTGACACCATACCTTTTTGTCTATTATTGCATGTACACGCTTTGTTTATTGTTATTATTTTTTTTTTTTTTTTACGCCACCGTTTAAACTTGCCACTCATACGTGTGATGTCATTTTGACATGATCACCAGTTTATGAATTCATTGGAAGGGTTGCACTTCCATTGTTACTTCTTACTTCCCCTCCTATGTGTGCATACTACATGTATCGTGTGCGTGTGTGTATAATAATACACAAATCAGCACACATAGGGGAAAAAAAAAAAAAAAAAAAAAAAAAAAAAAAAAAAAAAAAAAAATAAAAAAAAATGGAAAAAATTTAAATAAAAAAAATTTTGGGTTAAAAAAAAAAAAAAAAAAAAAAAAAAAG